AATTTAGATTAAAAAAAAACTTAAAAATAAATAAAAATAAAATATTTTATTTTTTGTATTATATAAATATGTAATATTATTAAAAGTTTATTGTAAATTTCGCGTTGGTTTAAAGTTTAGTTATTATTTTGATATTTAAAATTGGTTATATACAAAGATTAATTATCGATATGTGTGTTGGATCTATAGTACAGAGGGTTTTATAATTACTGTTATTGTTATTATTTCTATGGTTGTTTTTATTTCTATTGTTTTTATTAGTTTATTTATTATTTTTATTATTAGTTATTGATTATTGATATATTATATAAGTAAAAAAAAAAAAGGTTATTATTTATGCTCGGGTTTAAACATAACCCCATCTATCTTCTGGATTTGACATTTTTGATTGATATGTAACTTTTTTATCTTTTGGCTTTTTATTTTTCATTAACTTATATTCGTTTCTTTTTTCTTGCTTAGTTGTTGCTGGTGGTTCAGCTGGTATCTCTTTTAAATGGCTATTATAAGTAAATATTAATATACAAATGTGCATAAAAACTATCTTTTTAAATATAAACATACTTATTTGGTTTTTTAAATTCTTTATCAATTGATTGCATTTCTAAAAATAATCTATATTCTTTAGTTTCGTTTTTTAAACGAAAAAAAAAAAAAAACGAGAAAAAAAATGAAAATGAAAATTTGGATTAATATTAATTTTTATAATTGAATAATAAAATAGTTATTATGTTAGATTTTTATTAAAAAAAAACGGATAATTAAATAAAAAATAAATAATTTTAAAAAAAATAGTTTTATAAAATAAATAATTTAAATGTGGGGGTAAAGTGTTGAATGACGTATGGGGGTAAATGTTTATTAAATGTTTATCGTTTTTTGTCTTTCTGTAATAAGGTTTGTATTATGATTTCTTTAATGTACATACATATAATTTAAATCTATATTGTTTTTATTATTATTATTTTAAAGAGTATATAATGTTTGTTTGGCTGTTTAAAAACCCCAAACACTTATCGATGTGTGATATTTATATAAAATTAAAATGAAAAAAATAAAGGAAAAAAAAATCTTTTTTAAAAAATTTAAAAAATAATTTTTAAAAAAAAAAAATAATTATTTTACTTTTTTCTTAAAATTATTTTATTTTATTAAATAACTATAAAGTTTTATTGTGTATAAATTATTATTTATTTTGGAATTCCTATTTGTGTTTATAAAAAAAAAAAAAAAAAAAAAAAAAAAAAAAAATACTTACCAAAGTAACTTTTCTTTTTTCCTTTTGGGTAAATCTTTTTAATTATAATTATAAAAAAAAAAAAAAAAAAAAATAATAATAAATTTTTTATTAATTAAAAAAAATTTTGGAAAAAATTAAAGGGGTAAAAGGTTAAAAATTCTTTTAAAAAAATAAAAGATAAAAAAGATAAAATTTTAAAAAAAAAACCAAAAAAAAACCAAAAAGGTTTAAAAATTTTTGGATTTGGGTTTTTTTTAAAAAATTTTTTTTATTAAACTTTTAAATTGTTTAAATTTTATTATTGTTAATAAATATTATATTTAGTGTGTGTGAATAGGGTATAATTTTAAAAATCTCAACACAAACTCATACATTATTACTCACACAGACACGCAAACAATTCAATTCATATAAACAAAAAAAAAAAAGAAAAAAATTAATTAATTACCATACACACGTTTATATATACTCTTAAACACACCTTACATACAATATTTGTAAAGAGATATAACACACTAAACACATCTCAAATATTTTAATTATTAAAAATTTCAAAAAAAATATATAAAACCTTTTTTATATTTTTTTACCATATAAAAAAAAACACTTAAAATACAAACCCAGTTTACACCTCACATCTTTTTTAAAAAATTCACCAATAGAAAATTTTCAAACTTTTCTTTTAAAAAATACAAATCCAATTTATAAATCAATAATATTTACAAAATTACAACTTCAAAAAAATTAATAAAAACAAAAGAAGGTTAAATCAATAGGCGCCTTTTTTTAAACGGACAATAATAACTTCAAATTTTTAAAATAGTATACTCATAATTTTTTACGAAATTATTTTTTTCATACCACCCCCACTACTATATTCATAATATTATAATAATACACTCCTTCAACACTTACACACACTTTTTACAATAAATAAATTACCAAAAATGAGTTATTATGACGACGATGATAATACACTAGAGGAAATTAAAAAACTTCAAGAGGCAAGAAAGAAAGGTGTGTCATTATATGACGATGACGATGATGATATAAACAATAATAATAAAAATAATAAATATGACAGTTCAATATCAACTTCAAGCTCTAAAAAATCTTCATCAAAGAAACGTTCACACGAGGATGAATATGATAGACACCAAAGAGAAAGTATTAAAAAAGAATTTGATTCATATTCTGCACCATCACATATTTTAGATACACTACCAGTAGACGATGATTACGATGTAAGTATCTTTTAGTAATAAATTAACTATATGAAATTATTTATTAATTTTTTATAATACAATAATATATAGCCATTAAAAAAATATAGAGCACCAACAGTAGCAGAGCAAGAAACCGAATATAGATCAAGATGGAGAAAGAGAGATCTTTCACCTCCAAGGGATTATGACCCATTTACAAATAAAGGTGGAGTTAAAGGACGTTCATTTAAAGAGATCATGATGGAGACTCAATTAGCAAGAGAGGAAAAAGAGATTATGATGAAGATTGAAAAAAAGAAAAAAGATGAAGAGGAATTAGCAAAACAAAAGAAAAGAACAGAAGAGTATGAAAATAAAAAGAAGCTTAAAAAAGGCGACGACAACGATAGTAATGGTAGTAGCAGTGGAAATAGCAGTAGTAAAAATAGTAAAACTCGTGGCGATGTTACACCTACATACCCAGTTTCATCTTCATCCTCTTCTAGCAAGTGGTATTATAAAGTTTATAAAAATGGGGATTTAATTGAAAACTCAAGGGATATTAAAGAGAACGAAATTTTAACATTTGGAAGGGATTCATCAAGGAATAGAATAGTTTTGGAACATCCTAGCTGCAGCTCAACACATGCGTCCATTTCATTGGCACCCGATGCCAGAAGGCCAGTATTATTAGATTTAAAAAGTACAAATCAAACATTTTTAAATGGTAAAGAAATTAAACCGCATCAACCAGAAGATTTATATGATGGTGATAAAATTCAGTTTGGTGCCAGTACAAGAGAATATATTATTTACAAAAGAAAATAATTATTATAAATAATAATAGTTAATAATAAATAATAGTAATAGTTAAAAGTCCGAATAAATATATTTATTAAAAATAAAAGTTAAAATATACACCCTAGATGTATATTATTATAATCAAATAAAAAATAAAAAAATAAAAATTAATTAATTTGTTTTTTATGTTTCTAAATTAAAACTCTAAGCAATTTTATTTAAACTAATATTAATATTAATAATGCAACTATTGATTTGACGTAAAAGAATGCAGTGAATTTTTTAACATTCTGATTTGGTTTTATCATTAAAAACAAATGCAAAATATTCACAACCTTCTTCTAATTTACCTAGTTTCCAATCTTTTTGGTTATCTAAATCTTTTAGAACCTGGGAATGATCAACATAGAACTCTGTGTTTATCATAGATTTATTATTGGAGCATTGTAATTGGTTTAGATGATTTTTGACAAATGGTACTTGACAAGTAGTGGTTAAATCTTTTGCGTGTTTGCTAATGGTATTTGGGTCACATTTTTTATGTGTTATTTTCTCCAGAGCCAAAATAGAATAGGGATGTGGAGAAACTATTCCAGCAGCATTCCATTCAGTACCTATGGAATAAAGTATCATATTCTGAGCAATGTTATGGTTACGATAATTCTCATTAACAACTATTTGGGTAATAAGCTTTACACAACCTACAGATTGGCATGTGTAATTATATGAGTAGCAGCTCCCGATCATTTCATTATCTTTGTTTAGGGCAGTAACAACCATTGTATGATTTCTATCAAATAGCAATTGTTCCTTTATTTCATTTACGGTCATTTTACAATGTTCTCCTGGTTTTTGGTGGGTGGATTTTGTTTCTTTGCTCCAGGTACCATAATGATTTGAAAATAAATTTGAGCATTTATTTAAAAAATCATCATTAATAAGTTTACCTGGGATTATATCGTATACAATATCAACTTCTTCGTTTACACCTATCATTTTTTGATATAAATTAACTTTAATTTTAAAACTATTATAATAATTCGTAAAAAATAAAATAAAATAGAAAAATAAATTCATAAAAAAATAAAAAATAAAAAAAATTTAATTGTTTAAAAATTTATATAAATATAGTTTATTTAGATTATTATTAATAATTTATAATTATTACAGTAATATATGTAGTATTTAGTTTATTTCTATTAATGTATTAATAAAAGAATATCTTGATAAAAATACAAATAAATAACGGAACCAAACAAATTGACTTTTATGCTTTGTCATTGGAATGTAGCTTTGTGGTGGTAAAAATTGAGTTGAAATAAATGTTTGAGTTGTATTTTTGTCATATGATAAACATTTAGTGAGTGGAATATCTGAAATACCAATATATTTTCTTATAATATTAACTGTTTCTAATTTATATGCTTTAATATTTTTTTTATTTGAGTTGTTGTTATTATTATAGTTATGATCATTATTAACATTTTTCCTTGTTTTATTATTATTATTGTTATTATTTGAGTTTGGTGATTTAATTAATTTCATATATAGTTCTAAACCTTTAAAAATTGAAATGTGATTTGGATGAGATGAAATACCATTTTCATCAAATGATATAATGATGTCGGCAGAGGTTTTATCTACAAATTCAGAAATTACATCTTTAACTTCCTCGGTGTCCCAAGTGATCTTCATACCATCTTCAAATTTCCCTGTTTCTTCAAAGTAAACATTCTCTTTTGGGATACCAAGTGATTCACAACTTTTAACAAGCTCTTCCTCTCTAATAAGTCCTAATCCTGCAGCGTTTCCATTTGATAAACATACCACTGATATATTATAGTTTAATTGATATCTATAGTGTAATATAGTTGGTGTGAAAAACATACATTCATCATCTGGGTGGGCTATTACAAATAATACATTTTTTGTCATCTTTTCTAAACTATTATCTCTATAGCTATTAAACAATAAAGGTATTTGAGAAATTAAAAATATAAATAACGAAAATAATAAAATATTTCTTTTGTAATGAAATATCATAATCTAAAAAAAAATTAAAAATTAAAAATTAAAAATATTAAAAAAAAAAAATTAAAAAAAAAAAAAAAAAAAAAATAGAGAAAATATTAAACTATTATAGTTAATAAAAATTAACGATTATAATCTTTAAAGAGGTGTTTATTATTATTTACAAATAATAACTTTTTTTTTTTTTTTTTTTTTATTTTTTTTTTTTTTATTTATTTTTTTGTTGGTAGCGAAATAACATAGAAATGATGTATCTTATAAATATTTACACAATATACTTTATATACATATTTCCAACTATATTGAATTTTAATTTATTGCTTTCTTATCTACAGGACAAACTTTATTTACTTTAAGCCATTGGTCGATACACTAATAATAAATAAGGAAATAATTGGTATTAGTATTTGAAAATAACAGTAATAATAATAATGGTATATAAGATTCTTACAGTAACATGGAAGAAATGTTTACATGGAAGTGTTCTCACCTCTTCACCATTCTCCATTTCGCATAAACAAATACAACATGTTTCATTGGTAGTTGGACCATTATTTTCGGGGTTTGTGGCTTGATTTTTATCAATTTTATGGACTGGTAGTTTTATAATTTCAGTGTTTGTTGCACCTTTGTTATTTATATTATCATCAAGTGACAGTAGTAAATCATAGTCATTACTTGTGAAATCACGATTCATTAGATTAAATATACCAGGATCCATATTTCTACCTTGTTGGAGGATAGAAAAAACACCATTATACAGTAAAAAACGATTTCTTGCTTGATTATATGAATATTGAAGTTGCCTTTGTTGTTGATTGTGAATTTGTTGTTGTAGTTGTAGCTGTTGCTGTTCCAATCGTAGTCTCTGTAGGTGAACCTGTGATCTTCTTTGTTGTCTTTGTTGTTGAGTTTCTGCTTGGGTCTGAGCCTGTGCTTGTTGTGGTTGTGGTTGTACATGTTGGTATGCTGGTGGTTGTTGTGATCGTGGTTGTGGTTGCAGTGATCGTGGTTGGGGATGTTGTGATCGTGATCGTGGCTGTGGTTGTGATGGTGGTTGTGATGGTGGTTGCGATGGTGGTTGCGATGGTGGTTGTGGTTGTAGTTGTGGTTGTAGCAGTGACTGAAGTTGTTGTGGAGTAAAAGCTTGATTTGATAATATTTGCTCAACTGCTCTAAAATGGGTATCTCGAAAAAGGGTTTCTTGTCTGCTTCTACTGAGGGGGTGAACTCTATTTTCCTGGTTTCTTTGTAAATCTCTTTGAACATTTCCAATATCTCTATGATATTGACCCCCCCATAAGTTCATTTTGTAATTGAATTGCAAATAATCTATCAACTTCTTCTTGTGCTACATTTTCGCCATAAAGTGATGTTCTGTTACTTGTGATTTGTGGAGGCATAACCGTTCTAGTTGGTTCATTAAATCTTTCCTGAAGTTCTAATGCTAATAAATAATCCTCTTCTTCTTGTGTTTTATTTTCGTTATTATTATTACCATTATTATTATTAATTCTAGTTTTAGTTTTAGTTTTAGTTTTATTTTTATTGTTATTATTATTATTATTGGTATTAGTATTAGTATTAGTATTGGTATTGGTATTGGTATTGGTATTGATATTGGTATGGGTATTGGTATTGGTATTGGTATTGTCATTATTTGGTGTGATTTCTTTATTTCTTTTTTTTGGTCTGGTTGGTGAGTCAAGCACTATAACTCTGTTATTATTGCTATTAATGCCATTATTATTATTATTATTATCATTATTATTATTGTTATTATTATTATTATTATTATTATTATTATTATTATTATTATTATTATTATTATTATTATTATTATTATTATTATTGAGATTTTTTAAAATTTGATACCTTTTGCTTTGTTCAAACATATATCTCAAATTACGGTCATCAAGTTGTTCTTCAGTAAATAAAACGTTAGAGCTATGATTAGTGAGTGGATAATGTGGTCTTCTATTTATTGGAGTTTTATCACCTTCTTCATCGCTATCAAGTATAAAAACTTCATTATTATCTTTTTCCGGGGTTTTCCTTTTATTGTTAGATGAGGTTGTTGTGGTGGTTGTAGTGGTGGTAGTTTTATTTTTAATCTTTGATTTCTTTTCCTCTTCTTGCTTTTCAATATCTTTATATAAATCTAGATATTTTGAAACCTGGTAATCTTCATCATCATCTTTTGAATGGAGACTATTATGGTTTGTATTAGTAGTTGCCTCTATACTATTTCTATTACTATTATTATTATTAATACTGCGATTGTTGTTGTAGTTTGCATTGTTATTATTATTATTACTACGATTATTATTATTGTTGTTATTGTTGTTAAAGTAGTTGTTATGGTTATTACTACGATTATTTGTTGTAGTGGTAGTTGTAGTGGTAGTTGTAGTTGTGGTAGTATTTGGTCTATTGGATAAAGTAGGATAGATTGTATAGTCATCCTCCCTATTCATGTTCTCTTCTTCACTTTCACTATTTGTAAAATCTACAACTATTTCGCTATCAGTATCTTCATTTTCTTGATCGCTATTGTTTGTATAGTTGCCATACCCCTTATCGAAATAATTTATATATTTACTCATGGTTACTATATATATTGTGTTAATAATGTACAATTTATTACTATTAATTTTTAATTATTTTTTGTGAGTATAATACTATAACTATCGTTTAATAATTCTCTTTTTCTATTATAACTTATTTATTATTTATTATTATTATTAGTATTAGTGAATATCTGTACACTTTTTTTTTTTAAATAAAATAAAAAATATTTAAAAAAAAAAATATTAAAAAAAAAAAAAAAAAATTTTTTTTTAATTAAAAAAAAAAATTAAATAATATTTTGTGAAACTGATTTTTTTAAGAAATTTATTAAATAAATAAATAAATAAATAAATAAATAAATAAATAAATAAATAAATAAATAAATAAATAAAAAGAAATTAGCTAATCAAATGAGTATTTAAAAAAAAAAAAAAAAAAAAATGGAAGATAAAAAAATATTTTTTAAAAAAAGTAATAAATAAATAAAATATGTTTTATCTTTATTTTGTAAATATATAAAAAAAAAAGAAATAAAAAATAAAAATATTTTTTTTAATTATTATAATTTCTAAATAATTCTGATTTTACAACTATACCAGATAATTTACCCTTGTTGGTAACATAAACTGAATTACCACCGAGCATCATAAACATAAAAACGATTTTTCTAACTGGCATGGTTTCAACAATCAAAAATGGTGAAGAGTCGATAACTACCCAAGGATTTTGAAGTTCCATTTGAACTAAATCAATGATAGTTTCACCCTGTTCATCTGTTTCGTTATTATTGTTGTTATCACCATCATTATTATCTTGATTTATTGGATAATTATTGTTACTATTATTATTGTTATTATTGTTGTTATTGTTATTGTTATTGTTGTTATTAATTAAGTTATTATGTTCATCAACTTCTTCATCTGATAAAACTGACATTTCGATACCGTTGCTACTATTATCTCGGAGTAATGATTTTTGTTCCATATTACTGTGGGAACTATGACGAATATCTTCATTAATTGATATAATTGAATCACCATGGTGATGATGAGAACTACTGCCATCGTCATCGTTGTTGTCATTTGATAGTGATAATGGTGATTTATTTGAGGAGTATGAGTGTAAACGTTCATAATATAAAATGATTTCTTCTAAAGTATTTCTTGAAATTGTACCTATTAAATAATGTTCTTGTTCACTTTCTAAAACTGGAATAGCACGTTCATCGGAACGTTTTAAAAGTTGTGATATTTTGAGTAATGAGGTTTTTTGGCACACATAGTTGACATCGCTTCGCATAACATCTCTGGCCAGTAAAGCATCAGACTTTGCTTTGTAGAATGGAAGGTATGGTAAATTTTTATTTTTCAAGAAACAGTCGTAAATAGAGTCGTTTATAAGATTACCAATACCACATGAAAGTACTACACCAGTCAAAACAGGAACCATATATGTTAAATCGTTGGTAAGTTCTAAAATAATCATTGCTGATGATACTGTACGCGTTGCGCCACCACACAAAGCTGCCGCTCCTACTACTGCGTAACCAGGTGGATAAATATCGGTCATATGTGGAAATATTAATTTCATAATTTCACCTACAACTCTACCTACTGCAGCACCGATTGCAAACAATGGAATATAAATACCATAAGGGATTGGCAATGTAATTGATACGGCTGTTAATACTAATTTGACAATAATATAAAGAAGACATGCTATAATAATACCATTGTCGAATGGTATAGATTCGGTCCATGTTTTTAATTCTTCATTGTTTTCACCATATGCCTTAAACATTGCATGTACTGCACTTGCGTGGTCCAATCTTAAGAAATTTAATGGGAAACTTAATATGGCTGTTGCAGCGGCCACAATAATTACTTCACCAAAGGGTCTATAGTTTAAAATTAATTAGTATTTGTTATAAATATTATAAAATTATCGTTAATAATACATACGTTATTTTATTAAATAGTTCTTGATTATGTTTTTTCCAATTATAAATTTTAGTATATAGAGATATAAAAAGAGAACCTAAGAAACCACAGGCAACACCAGTTATAATAAAAGCAATGATTTGAACAGAGGCAAGGTTCAATGTAATTGATTCGGTACGATAAGATTCTAATAAACTATTTGATGGGGCTGATAAGAGAATTTTGATACCAATAGCACCAACGGTGGCAGTAAAGAAAGCACGCCAGTAATTGGAAATTAGATAATAGGTACCAGTTACTTCAATTGAAAAGAGTACACCACCAATAGGCGAACCAAAAGTAGCAGCAACACCCAATGCACAACAAGCAGCTAATAGTTGAGCTCGTTCAGTGTCGTTGGCAACGATACCTTTGAATGGTTTAATTGAAAGAATTGTGTTTGCTAATGCAGCAGAGATATGAATATATGGACCTTCTTTACCGATTGACAAACCACTACCATAGGAGCATAAAAGACCAATAGTTTTCCAAAATAATACTGTTGGCTCCACGACATCGGGACTCCAGAAACCCGAGAATATCGATTTTAAATCGGGTACACCCGAACCTATTGCGCTGTAACAAATTTTTTTGATGATGAAACATGAACATGTCGCTAAAACTACAGTCCACAAAATATAACTAAGGTATTGAACAAAATAATTATTGGTAAATTCTAAAAATTTGGTTCGGAATGCAAATACACCATAATTGAATATTAAATCTACCGCTACTAAATAAAATGACCCAACTAACCCAATAACTGCTAAAAATGTCCATAAAAAGAAATTGTTGTTTTGTGAGAATTTAGCCCATGAAATTGCTTTCCTTGAAATACCACCCTGTTTTGACTTAAATCCTGCTGTCTCTGCCTTTGGCATAACCAAATTAAACAAATCTGAATCGGACGTATTTGTTTTAATTCTCGTTTTTTTATATCCATGTTTACTAGATATCCTTTATATAAATTAAATAGTTAATACACCATTCGTTTTTAATATAAAAAAAATTCAAAAATTTAAATTGAAAAAAGTGCACTTACATTTTTGAGTATTTACTTGAACTAATTTTTTAATTTATAAGATTATATATACAACCAATATAGTTATGTATATACAATGAATTATATAATAGAATTTGTTTTAAGGTATAAAAATTTTTGAAAAATAAAATTACATTAAAAAAAAACAATTTTTAAATTATTATAAAATATTTTATAATAATAAATTAATTATATATATTTATCAAAATATATAAATTTTTATAAGTGTAAATTATTTTTTTAAAAGAAATATTATATAAATAATTCTTTTTTTTCTTTTTTTTTAGTTGTGTGTTTGATACAATTTAAAATAAAAAAAAAAAATAAAAAAAATTAAAATATTTTTTATTTTTTATTTTTTTTTAATTTATTTTTTTTTTTATTTTTTTTATTTTTTTTGCCAATTTGGCAATAATTGTTTATTTATGGTATTAGGTGCTTAAAATTAGATTTTAAACTATTTTATTTATTGAACATATTTTTTGAACTAAATAGGGTTGGAAGTTTTCTTTTTAATCATTTGGATGTTTAACTTAAGATTGATTGGAATAGAGCCACATTGATTGAAACTATTAAAGCTACAGTGCACAGTCAATGATTCTAGAATATGCTAAAGCTATTAGGTGCGCTCCCTATTTTCAAACAAGACTTGATTGAAAGAATTAAAAATAGATATTTTTTGAAAATCACAAGAAGGAAAAACACCCAGTAACAGTATTACATTTGAGGGTTATGATATATTGTTGTAACCTTTCACAAAATACTACTTTATCTCGATGTTCAAGATTTATAGGTGGACATTGAAAATGTTGATTTGAATAAATTTCTTTTCATCTCTTTTTTTAAATTTATTTAAAATATTTAAAAAAGATAAAATATAATAAAAACATTATAAATTAGTTTTATAATCAATAATCTGCACTTTTTTATTTTTAAAAAAAATTGTATATTAATAAGAGAGATTTTGCATAAAAACACCCCCCCTTTTTTTTTATTTTTATATAAAAATTAAATTTGGGTTGGTTAAGTGTTTGGGTAGTTAAAGAAAAAGAAGATAAATTTAATAAAAAATGGGGTTAGTGAAGTGTTTTTTAATTTTTTATCAATCATTACCTTTTAATCCATATAATTTTCTTCTCATTATCAATATGATTATAACATCATAATCATCTCAAGTAACCAAATGCAATTTGTTAATAGGAAGTTGAAAAAAAATATATTTTGAAACCAATCATAAACTTTTTTATATTGATTTTTAATATAGTTTTGTTATCATATAAAACCATTTTTTTTTCATAAAGAGGTTTGAGTGGTTTTTTTTTTAAAACATTTAGTTTTAATATAAACCTCTCAGTTTGATTATAAATTGAGTTTAAAAAAAATAAAAATTTTTTTTTTATAAATACCAAACTTTTTATTTATTTTTTAATAAAACATTCATTCAAATATATTAATATTTATAATAAAAACTCTTTAAGCTTTATAAAAAAAAATAAAAAGTAATTATAAAATAAAATAAAATTTAAAAAAAAAAAATAAAATTAATTTATCTTTTTATTTAATTATCTGAAATGAAAAGTGTCAGAAACATGGATTTTATGTATGTTATACTTGTTTTTTATTAGATAATTAACCTAAATTATTCTAATTTTTTTTTTTTTTTTTTCTTTTTTTCCTTTTAATTAGTACCAGGGCAATCAAAACATAATATTGTAGGTGTTATATTATCAATATTTCAAAATATATAATTTAAATAATAAACTAACATAATTTTAGCCAACTTTGTCAAATGAAGATACAGAACTCAAAGTTGAAGTTGAAGGTGGAAGTGAAGGTATATTTCGAATTATAAATGAAAGAACTCGACCACAAATACAACGTGTTCACAATTATGGAGAATTCTCTAATTTTTATGAAGGTACCCCCTTAAGCATTGATAATGCTGGTTCATCAATCTTAAAATTCACTTCAAACTATAAACCATAAAAGTCTTCTTCTTTTAAATTAATAAATTATTATGATAATTAAAAACAATTCAAATTTATTATTAATATTTTATTTATTTAAAATTTGAAATTTTTTTTTAAATATAAATTATGTTGTTTTTTATGAAATATTTTTTATTTTTGATTGTTTTTAATTGATAAATTTTTTGAATTATTTATATTATTTTGGATTATTTTTAAATTATTATATTGTTATTTAAATTTTTTTATTTTCTAAATAAATGGACATAATAAATAAATTAAATAAAAAGTTCCATTTTAAAAAATTTACCTTAAATTTAATTTTTAATTGTATTTTATATTTTTCTAACTCTATATATGTAAATTCATTGTCCATATAATGCAATCACACAATAAACCACAACCACACTTCCTAAAAAAAATTTTAATAAATTTTTATTTTATTTTAAATAAAAATTTTCACCCATCCCACACAAATAATAGTTAAAATTAAAATAATCTATAAATATTGTAATTTAAAAAATAATTTCATTTATTCAAAATGGCAATAGAAAGTAACAATGAAAGTTGTACAACAAATACAAATAATATTAATAACAATAATGAAAAACTAAATAACTTAATTAATAACAATATCAGTAACAACAACAACAACAATAATAATAATAATAGTAATAATAATAATAATTTTAGAAATATAATTAATTGTAATAACAATGGCGCAGGATCAAATTCTGAAAAATGTTGCTGCCACTGTAATAGAAATGATAATATTATAAATCAAAGTTTAGAGATATCAAAAAACAATAATCATATGACACAGTCAAATATAATTATAAATGAACCAATACCAATCCCAAGTGGAATTAATCATACGACCAACATAATGAACCCAATGAATTGTACAAGTACCTCTTTAAACACAATTATTAATGAATCAATTTTTATTGACAAATATAAAATAATAGATATAAGAGCAATGGGGAGTGGCGCAAAAAAGGGTCATGGTTTTCAAGAGAATCTTCCTCAAGAAATTTCACATTTAATAACTCAAGAAAATTATTCCAAGTTTATAATACCTTTCAATAGAATTTACAATTATTTTTATTTATTATTTTTAACAGTTGTATTTTTAATTGCTGGTATATTATTCCCAATATTTATTGTCAGGGTAACATCTCTTCTTTGGGCCGTTATTGGTGGGTGCTCTCTAATTATTCTTGCTGCTATATTTTACTTTTGTGTAAACAAATATATAAAAGGAAAAAGAGTAAGTATTTAAACTTTTATTAAACTTAAAAAATATATTAATTAATATAATAATTTTTTATAGATTAAATTAATGGAAAATAGGGTAAAAAAATTTAATATGAAAATGGATTCAATTAGTTGTCCATTACAATTCTGTATAATGAGGGTCCAAGAAGCTGTTCCAGGAAAGCCTCACTTTTCTGTTGAAAGATTAATTATAAGAATCACCTATTCATCTAATGAAAATAATAAACCAGTAGGAAATCCAGAAGCATAACATTATAAAAAAAAAAAAAATTTTTATTTCTAATTAGAATCAATAATAATAACAACAATAAAATAATTTGTAAATAATAATAAAATATGTAAAAAAATAAATATAATTCAAAATTAAAATATAATTATCGATAGAGTTTAAAATTTATTTATAAATCATAAGTTTAAAAATTAAAGTGTGGTGGGGTAAATTATTTTTAATTATTTTTTTATATATATATGCCCACAATAACTTTACATATAAAATTTATATGCAACCCCATTACCACCACAATCCCCACACTAAACTCACACTCAGATATCATTATTTATAGATATATAGTTAGAGACAAACACACATTCCCCACATTAAAATTTATAGATTTTTAAAAAAAAAAACGAAATTAATGTTTTTTCTTTTTTCAAGAATGGTCAAATTTAATAATGCATGTATTTTTTATATTAATTTCAATTTATTTTGTTTTGTTGTTTTTATTTTCAAAATAAATATAGTATTATTGATTTCAAAAAGATTATTATTGTTATAACAATCAAACATCTTTTTTAAAACAGATAAATAAAGATTCTCAAAAAAAAAAAAAAAAAAAAAAAAAAATTTTTTTTTTTTTATTAATAATAAAAATAATAATACAAAATATCATAAATTACCATCATTTGTATTTATTTATTTTTATTTCAAAAAAAATTTAATATTTTTTTATATAAAGTAAAAATTAAATTATAATTATTTTTTTTTATAAATTTTTTTTCAAATTATTAATTTATTAATTTATTAAATTATCAATAAATAAATTTATTATTTATCAATTTATTAATCTAAACCAATAATTAAAACAATTCTATTTAGAATTAATAATTGATAACAACTAATAATAATATTTTATAAAATTAAAATAAAATGACAATAATAAATAATGAAATTAAAAATGCAATTGATTTGATATGGAACAATAAATTTAAGGAAGCCGAAGAAATATTTTCAAGTAAATCATCATCAACCCCTAGATACTCATTACATAATGCTGAAACTGCATTCCTTAAATCATTTATAACTGCAAATGAACTAGAAACTGAAAATGCTTTATTAAAACTTAAGCAAACTAAAGAATTAGCAGAACAATCAATAAGAATATTTGAAAGCAACAAAGTACCTCAAAATTATTTCCCACCAAATATAAAAACTAAAGAGGATTTTAAAAACCATATACTAGATTGTAAAATTGTAAGTTTTCATAAAAATTAATTATATACATAAAATTAAAAAAACATTTTAATTAATTATATTTTTATAAAGGTATTGGGTGACTCATTATATATGCTTGCAGTTTTACAAATCACTAGAGATCATAAATTTAAAGGTTGTTTTAATTTAAGAAAAAGTTGGAAAATATTTGAAGATACTCTTAGACAAGTTAAAGACGATGAAGAGAATGGGTTCCAGTATAGCAGTGATTTAACCGAGTTGTTAAGATTTGGTTGTGGGTTTTTTTATTTTGCTGTATCCATTATACCACAGAAATATTTAAAATTAGTCGAATTAGTTGGTTTTAAAGCTGATAGAGATATGGGTTTAATGTATTTAAAGGATTGTTTAAGTAAAGGGGGAATTAGAACACCCTTTGCAACCATGGTCATTTTATTTAACAATTTACTTTTACCAAGAGGTCTTTATAATCCAACACATCAATTAAATGAAGCTCAACAATTAATTGAAAAGAATTTAGAAAAGTATCCCTATGGTTCATTATTTCAAGTAATGGGTTCTCATTGCTATAGAAAACAATGCAAAATTGATATGGGTTTACAATGTATGGAAGTTGCCATTTCAAATTGTAACTCATTATCCAAAGCACCACTTATTTATAAATATGAACTTGCCAACTGCTACTGTATCAAACTCCAATGGGATAAAGCTATTCAAGTCTTTGAAGAATTGGTAAAAGAAGAAAAATTTCAAATTCGTGCATTATGTTCATTACAATTAGGTAGTTGCTATATCATAAATGGTCAAAAGGAAAAAGGAATCCAATCGTTTAACAATATAAAAAACTTTTGTAAAAAATCATCTAGTGTAGATATTGTAATTAATAAACAAGCTCAAAGATATATAAATAATGGTGGTTCATTCTCAGTATTGGAGGTTTTATATTTAAGAAGAGATATGGCAAAAATGGAAAAATCATTAGCCAATAAGACTATGGATATTTTAAATTCCATCGGTAAAAAACTAGGTGTAGATAAACCAATACCACAACAAACAGTGCAACCAATATCTAATAATACTACAATTAATAATATCTCATTATCGACCTCATCCTTCCTCTCAAGAACTTTTTCAAATTTAACCAAAAAGAAAGAAGAAATTCAACAAAATGATATTCTTATACATGATAGAGCAGCCTATTTACTTTTAAAAGGTGCAATTTATAAAAGTATTGACCTCTATGATCAATCAATGGAATGCTTTGAAGAGTTACTTTCAATGAGTCATCTTTTAACCGAAAAATTCTACATCCCATATTCATACTACGAACTTAGTGAAGGATATTACCACAAAAAGAACAACGCTAAAGCTTTAGAAAATATACTAAAATGCAACAAATTCACAGGCTATGAATGGGAAGATCCACTTAAAGTACGTCTTCGTGTAACATTAGATCAATTAAAAAGGGACGGTGCAGGTATATCAAACGATGACTATAGTGATGAAGATATAATTTCAAATAATGGCAATGTAAATAGTGATGATTTATTATTAGAGGAAATGAATGAATTGGAGATTGAAGAAAAAGAAACTCAATTAAGAAATAAATTAGCCAATAATAGTAATTATAATAATAAACAAACACCACAAAATAACTCTAAACAACAAATTTATTATTTAGAAAACAATCAAATCACTTCACCACATTTAATAAACATACCATCACCATCAATCATTCAAGATAGAAGTTGTGATAATAAAAATTTCATTGAAAGGGTGCCATCACTTTAAAAGGAAAATTAATCTTTATAACAATTTTCAAATAAAAAATTAAGTTACTTTTATAAACATTAATATCCTTAAAGTAATATATCCCTTTTTGTTTGTTTAATTACCAAAAAATAAAAAATACAAAATAAAAAATAAAAAATTTAAATAAAAAAAATAATTTTTTAAATTTGATAAAATAAAACCCACACAAACAAACTATTATAACCCTTTTATTATTTAGTGTTTTATTACAATAATGACAATAGAGACGCAACATCACCATCATCACAACAAATGATTCATATTTAATAATTAATTTTGGTATTATGCAATAAACCAAAGTAAAATTAATTTATTATAATTTAAAATTAATTTTAAAATTTATTTTTTTTTGATTCTATGAAAACAAATAAAAAATCTTATTTTTTTTAAAAAAAAAATTTTTAATAAAAAAAATAAAAAAAAAAAAAAAATCTTTTTTTTTTTTTTTTTGTTATTTTTTTTTAATTATTTTTTATATTTTGTTTTTTTTATTTTTTTTATATTTTTTTAAATTCAGTAACTATAATTATTTATTTATTGTGATATATACATAAATAATTTATGTTTTAATCATACATAATTTAAAATAATATATAAATAAATTTTTTTTTTTTTTGTTTTTTTTAATTTTATCAATTTATTCAATTTTTTTTGTTTTTTTTTTTTTTTTGTTTTTTTTTAATTTTTCTCTATTTTAAAAGAAAATAAAATCATACAACTGTATTTTATAATTTATTTTTTGTTTCACTTTTATTTGTACAGATATACCTAATCGATAACTATATTATTATTTCATTATAATAATTTATAAAAAAAGGAACTAAAAATGTCAGAAGAAATTTCAGCCAACGATAGAAGTAAGTTTAATTTAGAGATATTAGAGTTTTATATAATTTTTTAACAAGAAATTAATATTAATTTTTAATAATGAATAGAATACATTACAAATTTGTTAAATCAAAGAAATCAAGAAAGTATTTTATTAATTAGTGGTGATAAAATTAGTAAAAAAAAGAGCAAGAAACCAAGCAAGAGAATTATTTTATTGACAAAGAATCGTGTATTATTTATTAAACCAGGTCAAAGTAAAGTTAAAAAGGAAGCACATCTTTTAGATATTAATGAAATTAAATCATCCAACAGTAATGAGGTTATTATAGTATCGGCTCAACAAAAATTCCAATATGGTATGAACACCAATGGTAAGGCCGATGAAATTATTCACCAAATTCGTACTGTTTTCAGTCAACAATTTTTAGGTTATCCAGAAGATGTTAGTTTTAAATTAACTGATATTCAACCACAATCTCGTTTAAAAGAATTATCCCCAAAAGATTTACCATGTGGTGGTTTTGTTGAAACCTACAGCTCACTTTGCGATTATTGGGGTATTCCAATACGTGGTGATATTTGCTGGGATATTTCAAACATCACCTCAAGCAAAAATATTAAATCATTTAATTTTGGTGAAATTGAACAACCAATTTCAATTGGTGATATCAAATGTTTATTAACTGCTTTAAAGTATAATGGATATTTCAAAGGTTTAAATTTCAACAAGTAATATCTTTATTATTAAAAACAATAACCATTATAAAAAACAAAATACTAATTAAACTTTAATTTCAATTTCAACAGCCATCCATTTGCTAAAGATCAATTCCAAATTTTAGCTGATGTATTAAAAGTCAATTCAACTGTTGAAGATTTAAGTATGAATAATGTTGGTTTAAGATCAGATACTTTACCAATTATTGCAAATTCATTATCAGCAAATAAAAACTTAGCTCTCACCTCAATTGATATTTCAAACAATCAAGTTGAAGATAAAGGTCTTGGTGCTTTTGCTCAATATATTGCTGTAAGTAGTTTAATAATAAAATGAAAAAAACAATTCAATAATTTTTAATATACTTATAATTTTTCATATTATTATTATAGGGTAGTTTAAGAGGTATTGCATCTTTAGATTTATCAAATACTTCAACTGGTAAACTTGGTATTAATCAAGTTACAAGTGCATTAAAAAAGAATATCAAAATGCCATCAACTTTATCATATTTAAATCTTTCAGGTAATAAAATGGAAGCTGATGGTAGTGCAGGTTTAGCAAGCTTTTTAGCCAATCCAAATTGTCTTAGAACTTTAATTCTTTCAAATACCACTCCCTCAATGGAAACTATTGTTGGAGCTTTGGTTATTGGTTGCTCTGAACTTAAAACTTTAGATATCTCTGAAAATGTTGGTAAACTCACTAAAAAAGAAGTTGCTCATTTGGTTAGATTTATTTCATCATCATCAACTCTCAAAAATTTCAATTTCTCTGGTACTAAAGTTCCAGTTGATTGTTTAAAAGAATTAGTAGTTGCAATTTCATCAAATATTTATTTACAAGAAGTTAATTTAGATATTAGAGTAAGATTTATTTTTTTTTCCATGGGGTAGTTAGTCCACAAAAATAAAAAACTTTTTGTATACTAATCAATTTTTTAATTTAGAATAATGATTTAGGTATTGCAGGTGCCAGAATGTTAGCTTCATTATCAGATAAATTATCAAATATTGTTTATTTAGATTGTTCAGAAAATGATTTTGGTGATGAGGGTGTATCTGTTATCTGTGAAGGTTTTGTTACAAATAATTCTATTAAAAAATTAGTATTAAATGGTAATTTCAAGACATCAAAAACTAAATCAAGAGCAGCAGCAATCGAATCAGTTATTACTTTATTAGAATCTGAATGTCCAATTGAATCATTACATATTACAGCAGGTAGTGGTAAATCATTATCACCATTAAAGAACGATATTCTTCCATTAGTTTATTCATTAGCCACCAACAGCTCATTATTAGAAATCGATATTAGTGGTCATCAAATGGGTAATAAAGGTGCCATCGCTTTAGGTAAAGCTCTTCAAACAAATAAAACACTTCACACTTTAATTTGGGATGAAAATCAAACCGGTGTTGTAGGTTTCTCTGGTTTCCAAGTTGGTTTAGAACGTAATTTAACATTAAAAAATATGCCAACCCCACTTACCGATATTATTGCTGCTCATCGTGAAAACCCTGTTAAACTCTCACAAACTCTTAAAGAAATCGATAATTGTATCAATAGAAATCAATCACCAAGCCGTGCTTTTGAAGGTACTGCTGGTATCGGTGCCACAAATCTTTCATTCTTAGCCTCTGGTCAACAACAACAAATTGAAAAACTTATGAATAGAATTAAAAGTATTGGAAGAAAAGTTACAGACCCAGAAAATCTTTTAATTATCAAAGATGCTGAAAATACAGAAAAGGTTATTGGTGGTATTCATTTAATTAAAGAAGCTATTCACGCATCACTAGAAATGGAGTTAAATCAAAAACTTAAACAATTTGTATCTGTAGTCAACGATGCTATCGATTCTAAAAAGAAAGAAATGACCCAACAAATTTTAGAAAGTATGCAAAATACTTTCAAATCTATGGATCAAGCCACCATGAAGGGTTTAGCAGCTGGTATTCAATTTGGTTCAAAAGATGTCGATGAAGAACAAATCCACTCTACTCTTGTAAAAGGTGCCGGTGCTGAACTTAGCAGTCGTGCTCACGAATGTTTTATTTCATCTTTAGATATTGCTTCAGATTATACCTATGAAAAAATTACTATGGGTCTTGAAAGTGTATTTAAGGATTTAGTATTAGAAGAATTAAATCAATCACAAGGTGATAACTCTACCCCAATCGACCACAGTCCAGTCCCAGTCAGAGCTGCACCACAAGCTACCTCACCACCATTAGCATCATTCCCAACCTCCAAACCACCACCACAAGCTGCCCCTGTCCCACCATCGGGTGGCAATGCTCCACCACCATTAGTTCCAAGAACCGGTGCTGCTGCTCCAAAACCACAATCCCCAGAGGTTCAAGCTGGTGCTGGTGCTCCTGCTCCACAACCAAAATTCGGAGGTTCAAAAGTTGCTGCAAACTCTGCTGTTGCTCAAGCTATGATCCGTGGTATGATGGGTGGTCCACCACCAATGAGAAAACCAGCTGCTCCAGTATCTGGTGAAGATACTCCATCCCAACCACCAGCCGGTGCTGCTCCATCACCATCCAACATTACCCCGAGCAAACCAAAACCATCAGTTGCACCAAGAGCTGTCACACCAGTTAAAAAACCAACACCATCATCAGGTACACCTGGTAGTATTTCAGATGCCCCTGAAACTGATGATTCTGTTGAATTAACCCATGCCACTAAATCACGTCCACAAGTTTCTCATAAAAGAAAACCACCAACTAGAAGACCAAGACCACCAACTGAAAATTAAAATGATATACGATAATAATAAAAATAATAATAATAATAATAATAATAATTATAATAGTATTATAATAGTAACATATTTATAGTTAAAATAACAATATTAAAAACAATTTTAATTTAATATTAAATCATATTTAAATTAAAATTTTAAAATAAAAAAACATATTTATTTCTTTGTATTTAATAATTTTTATAAAGTTTGATCCCAATTTTATTATATTTTTTCTGTGGTATTTTTTCAGAAAATGAATTATTTATTTATATTTAAACTTGGTTTAATCCATCATGTAATTGAATTGTTGAAATGGTGTTATTATCTGTTTTTTCATTGTCATTTAAATCTAAGGGTATACAAAAACCACTATCACTATTGATGGCTTTATAACCATTACCCTCCATTTGTTTTTCCTCCAGTGTTCTTTGTGGTTGTGAATTTTCAAATGGTTGTTGAAGTGAATCTGGTATATTGGCTTCATATTCTGTATATGAAATAATTAATGAAATATCAACTGATACACCTGAATAAAAATTAATTTCCTCTTTCTTTCTTAAAAGCAAACAGAAGTTTATTGGTATGCCTTCTTTTGATTTCTTTTTATTAATTTTATTAATTCTTTCCTGCATTAATATATACTATAAAAAAAAATTAGTATAAAAATTATTATTTATAAAAAAATATGAAAAAATTTTATTACTCTTGAATATGAATTGTATTTTTGATATCTATAAAAAAAATAAAATGATAATAAAATGAAATTAACCAATAATAACCATCCCAATAAAATTGATAAACCCATGAACAATCCAAAAAATAAAAAACTGATTACAAATAAAAACAATGATACATATAACAATCTATTATCGTTTAAAATTTTATTTAATTGTGAGATGAATAATCTATAGTCTCTATCATTGATAAGAGATGTTATGGCCCATTGTACCTCGTCGCTAAAATACTTTTCTTCAATAACCTTTAACTCTATTGTCCTGATATTACCATTTAAACTATACTCCATTTTATTGTATCTTTAGTTTTACTATTTTATATAAATAAAAATAATATGCTATTTAAATAATATATTACATTAAAATTTCTATAGTTAGTTATGATTGTTATTGAATAACCAAAAATAAATAAAAAAAAATAAATAAAAAAAATAAAAAAAAAATAAATTATTTTTATAACAATATTTTTTTTTTCACTCACTGAATAGTAGTGTGTTTGTATTTTTTTAATGAGGGGGAAAGTGTGTTAAAAAAAAAAAATTTTGAAAAAAAAGTGTGTTAATTTAAGATAAATGAATTTGTAATTTAAATATGAATGATTTAATAAATATCTAAAAAGAAAATATTTGTTTGGGTTAAGAAAATCTACATCCTATCACCTGAAATCTGTTTTTAACTAAGTTCAAACTCTAAAATTATTTATTTTTATTTTTGTATAAAAACAAAAAAAATAAAAATAAAAAAAAAAAATAATTAAAAAATAAAAATTGTTGGAGGGGAAAAATAGGTTTATTAAAAATTTATAGATTTATAAATACCAAAACATAGATTGAATAGTATACCCATATGGAAAATCCTTAATACAAGTATTTTTTGTGAGCACCATATTTAATTTATTCTCTGATTTTTGTTTGATATTGAACTTTTATATTTTTTTAAATTTTTTGCATCTTTAATTTTTTGTTTTTTTGGATTAAGTTTGAAATTTTATAGTACAATTTACATTTTGAAACTTTAGAATGATAGTAATTAAACTAAAATAAGTAAAAAATAAAATAAAAAAAATTAATAAATAAATTAAATAAAAATAAAAACAAAAACAAAAACAATAATAATTACCTTATCAATTCTTTTAAAACCTTTTAAAATATTTTTTCCATATTTATTTACTTTTTTAAAATCTTTTCCTCTTGTTTTTATACAATTACCACTACTACCGTTGCTATTAATATTACCATTACTTTTTCTATTACTATTTATATCAGTATAAACCTTTATATTTTTATTTGCTATTTTGGTTATTTCATCACTTAGTTTTAAAATCTGAAAATATAAAAAAAGTAAAAAATATTAAACCTCTATTAAATAAAATTATATTATCTATAGATAATAAGTACATTTTCTATTTCTATGATTTTGTTTAAATCATTCCTTCTATGGGTTGTTGGGCTTTGGTTAAAATACTATAATGAGTAGTTTTTTTTTTTTTTTTTTTACTGTTTTTTTTTGATTGTTTTAATATTTATTTTATTAAAAAAAAATAAAAAAAAAAAAAAAGTTTATTTTTTAACCAAAAAGAAAAAACTTTGATAGTTTTTTTCTGTCGTTTATAAAAAAAACATAATCCTATTTTTTTAATTTTTTTTTATTTTTATAAATTTTTTTTTCTTTCCTTTTTTGATAAAATAAAAAAGATGTCCTTTGCTTAACAAAATGGAATTTTTAAAAAAAACGTGGGTCTTTATACAAAAAATAAATAAAAAACTAAAGATTAAAGAAAAAAAAAAAAAGATAAAGAAAACAATAAAATAATAAAATAATAATTTAAAATTAAAATTTATAAAAAATATAAAAATATAAAATATATAAAAATAAAAAATATAAAAATATAAAATATAAAAATATAAAAAATATAAAAAAATATCTTTTTAATAAAAAAAAGAAAAAAAGAAAAAAAGAAAAAAAGAAAAAAAGAAGAGTTTTTTAAATTTTAAGTTTTTATTTTTTATTTTAATAAATATAATAATTATTTGTTTGTTTTAAAAACATTAAGTTATACGTGTTTGTGGTGTGGAGGTTGTTTAAAAATATGTACAAATAATTTTAAGCGGGTGGTGTTTATATATGAGAGTGTGTGTGATGGTTTAAATTTTGAAAAAGAAACTATAATATATTGATAAAAAGTTATTATTATTGTTATTATTATTATATACAAAGCAAATTTAATTTTCCATAAATAAACCAGCTGGTTTTTCACCACGATGGGGCAAGTTCAATTGATTGTTGTTGGACACCACATTGTTGGCAACAACAGGCAACTAAAATATCCATTGGGAGATTTTTATCTTTGTTTTTGAATTCATATTTAGTTTGGATTTCTCTTCTTTTAATGAATTGCATGCATGGGAAACAACAACAGGTAAGTAAGAAATCTTCTGGACCTAATTGGTGACCGCTTAAAGTTCTCATGTTGTATAATAATTGAGCTTGTGGGAATAAGAATGAAGCACAACCTATTTTAAAAAATAAAAACAATATTAATAACAGAGTTTATTTATTTATATATTTGATAATTAATAAATTCCGATAATTACAAGTTGGAGTTAACATTTGGTCTTCACCGAGACAACCAAATAAACCTGATTTCCAATCATCTGACATTTTGATTTATATATATATTTATTTATTAATTTAATTAATTAATTTATTTATTTGTGTATTAAGAAAAGAGTAATAATTTTTTTAAAAAAAGAATTACTTGTTTGTTATTTATATATTTTTAATGAAATAAACAGAAAAGAAAAAAAAAATTTAAAAAAAAAAAAAAAATGCGGTAATAGGGGCCCACGGTTTTTTAAAAAAAAAAAAAATTAATTTATTTATTGTAAAAATTGGTTAAAAAAAAAAATAAAAAAGAAATTAGAAAGAAATAGTGTGTGGACCTTTGAAAAAGTAACCGACACAAGTGAATTATGATAATCAATTCTTTATTTTACATATCATGCATATCCATGATTCATTTTAATGGTGTGGTTAAATTTAAATAAATTCAAAAAAAATTAATTATTTTAAAATAAATTGTTTTTTTTTTTTGAAAATGCGTTTTTGTCCATTATAGTTTTTTCTTTTAATTATATTGTTTTATTATGATTTTTGTTGAATAGGGTTTTTTTTTTCAATCAAATTGTTATTACATGTTGTGTTTAACCATAAACAATGTAACCGGTTATCTATACACAAAACCGTGAAATTATCTTTGAAAACTAAAAAAAAAATTAAAAAAAAAAAAAAAAACTAAAATTTATATAAATAATTAAAATAATAAAAATAATTTAAATAATAATAATTATTTATAATTCTTCAAAAAAAAAAAATTATATAAAAATAATATTTTTTTATAAAAAAAAAAAAAAAGAAATGGTAATTCTCACTCAAAATTTAAAGCAATCTTACAACTGCCCTTTTATTATTATTATTATTTTTGAACCTTTGGTTTAGGATTAGCCTTTTTATTTTAAAGGTATGAAAGTGTTTATTTAAATATTACAAGAAAAAATTTATTTATAAAAAAAAAAAAAATAAATATAAAAAAATAAATAAACATACACACCCACACTCCCACACATTATCTCTACGTTATGTGAACACACATAATCACCATCAGATACTTGGGAAGATATTATATATATTATAATAATATGTATATGTGTTAATTTACTTTTAAAAGAATTAAATATTTATTTTTTTTAAATTTTTCCCATTTTTTTTTTTTTTTTTTTTGCCATTTTCTTTTTTTTTTTTTTTTTTTTTTTTTTTTAATCATTTTCAATTTTTTTTACAAACACACCTTGATCATCTTTTATTTATTCATTATATATGAGCTCCTTATGTTTATATCCTTGGTGAATAGGAATAAAGTGCAATATTGAATTGAACAAATACTAACGAAGGAGAGAGGAAATTGGTTATAACCTTATATTTGCTACACAACCCTTTATAAATTAAAAATTAAAAAAAAAAAATAAAAATAAAAATAAAAATAAAAAATTAAAATTTTTTTTTTTTTAATTTAAATATTTTTTATTAAATTAAATTGTTGAAAAAAACTATTATTTTAAAAAAAAAAAAAAAAAGATACTTTGTTTCATTTAAATTATTTATTTATTAAAATATTTTAATAATTATTTTTAGATTGCTTATAAAAAATATTTTTAGTTTTATTTATGCAATAACTTTCAAAAATAGAAAATAATAGTTTATAGTAAATAAATACACGGTAATAAATACACGGTTAGGCGGAAAATTATTGTTAAATAAAACACACATAATTATTATTTTTGTTATATTTTTTTTTTTTTTATTTTTTAATTTTTTTTTAAAATTTTCGAATTGGTGTTGTTCATTTATAATTTATTTTATTAATAGCACACCCATAAAACAATAGATAATAACATAAATATATTAAAATGAGGCCATATATTTGGCCTTTATTTATTTTTGTAATATTATTAATAAACAATATAGGTAAGTGGTTTATTTCTCATATTTTTAAAAATATCTAAAAAAAAAAAAAAAACGAAAAATTTCAAATATTAATTAATTTTTAAATTAAATTTATTTAGAAATAACAAATTGTTTAACGCCAACATTATCATCATTTAGAAGATCAATTTTATTTGTAAATAATTTAACAGTCGAATCATCAGAAAGAAATATAAATATATCATTATTACCAGGATCAGGCACCCAGTTCAATTGGTTGGTTTATAAAGATGGCTTTAATTTATTAGAAAACGAAAGAAAAAGGACAATATCAGGAACAGATTCATTTATAATGAAATGTGTCACAACCTTTGATAGTGGAATCTATCATTTTAAACAAAAAGATACAACAAATACAGGATACAATATAGATACAGCCAAGTTTCATTTGTCAGTTATTGGTAACGATACAGAAACCTTAACATTAGAAAGAGCTCCATCACCAATTATTATATCGGGTAGTGCATTCCCAATACAACCTATTATTGGATTTGGTAGAACTGAAATGCCAGAATGGATTGGTGCATCCAAAGGAAGAATTGAACCAGTTATATTAAGCAGCCCATCAAATGGAAAGAACTCACACTATTCTTTACAATTTCAAAGTCCTCAAATCGATTTTAAAAAGAAAATTGTAACATTTAGTAGTTTGTCTATCTTGGGTGAAAAGGGTAAATACAGAATTGGGTTCATCGATATGGATACTTGCGAAATGATTAAGCTCGATATGGATATAATGGTAGTCGGCGTACACATGACAGTTGTATTCGAAACAGCGATTTCCTTATTTATAGTTTGGATTATCATTGTTTTGTCCTATGTCATTGATATTATATCAAAGTATAAAATGAAGTCTAAAGGTTTTCTCCCATGGAGATTGGCAATTCTCACACCAATGGAAAGCATATACAAGTATAAAGGCGAAGGTATAAGATTTTATTTCAAGTCTCAAAGAATTTTGATATTCATGATGGGGTTTTTCGCATTCATTTCAGTTATTCTCTACATACCAGTTACTATGCAAGGTGATAATAAGTTTAGAGACATCTATTTATACTCTCAACCAAACTGGAATGCATACTCATCATATTTGTTTTTGTATCAAGTCCAAGCAGCATTGTTTTTTGTTGGTATGATTATAGTTTACACCAGGTTCAACGACGAGAGAATTTACCTTTCCTATGACAGCAATCATTTGGTAACATCAAGGACCGTTCTTTTAACAGGTTTACCAAAATCACTAGTAAATATTCAGTTGCTTAAAGATTTCCTTCAAACAGGCTATTCTAATGGTATATACGCTGCATCGATTGTGTTGGTAAAAATATTTTCACAGCAAGATAAGGAGAATGATGTTAATGGAAGATTGGAGCGTATTTATGTAGATCCAAATACTGATATTAATCAACTACCATCCAACCAAACAGTAGAATCTACTGGTAAGGCATTCATTACATTTTCATGTGTATCTGATGCCCATCTTTTTACAAATCAATTTTCACCATACAAATGGACCAAAGCACTCATTAAGCGTATTACTAAACCACACATACCCGAGGAATATAGAGTAGAGTTGGCCACTGATAAATGGAAGGCATACAGTTCACCAAGAGTATCCGATATCTTGTGGACAAAGCTCCACAACCCAGCAAACTTTAGACATGTTGGTATAACTGTTGCACAGTTCTTTGGTACCATATTTTTCTTTTTGATTTTGGTTTGCATAATTTTATTTTATATAGAAACTCAATTTTCAATTGTAGGTTATAATATAATCAAACAATACCTTTATTTTTAGAATTGTTAACTAATAATTTATTTTTTAAAAAATAATAACCAGGTTCCAGGATTTTCACCTATTTACTTCAATACAAGTGTTGATGGATTTTATGCATTGGGATCAACTGTTATTTATTATTTTATACCATCATTGTTGCTATTGTTTTTAAACAACTCAATACCAAGTGCAATCAGATATATTTTATTGAAATCCAATAGTTATGTTAGAAGCTTTTCAAAGAGCAAAGGTATGTTCCTTACTTTTGTTTTCCAATCCCTATTAATCGTTCTATATCCATCATTCTACTTTTTAATAAACAATACTGGTGATTTTGGTGGATTTGGACCCAACAGCTTTATTATTCCAATCAATTTCTTTAGAAGAGGTGGCGTTTTCTTTTTCCATTTTATGATTATTTTCTCTATAGTGACTCCATTTTTAGAATTAACAAATCTATTTGATATTGTAAAGAAATTCTTTATTCATCATAGAAGTTTAAAAGCCGAAGAAATTTTAACATTCGAACCATTAGATTTAAAAAAACAATATTTAAACTCATTGTTGGTGGTAAGTTTATTTTTATATTCATAAATTTAAATATAGTTATTAATTTTTTTATTATTATATAGATGATGATTGTAGGTTGTTATGGTCCAATTTTCCCATTAATCTTTGTTTTTGGTTTGTTTTATTTAATTGCAAAATTCTTTTTGGTTAAATATGTTTGTATCGCCTCAAAAGCTCCCATTCCACAGAGTGACAGATATTTTGTAATATCATTTCAAAAGTGTATTTGGTTTATTCTCACCATGGTTACAAGTTTCCATTTCTATTATGTTCAATCAATTAGAAGATTGGATTTACTGTTTTTATATATATTTTTACTGGTAATAGCTTTTGGTAAATATATTCCAACTTGCTCAAAGAGTTTATGTTATAGCGTTTTCGATGGTGCAGTTTTCCCATGTCTAGCAAAGGATGGCGATAATAACGATGAAGATGACGATGACGATGATGACAATGATGCAGAATATTACGATGACTCAAATGATGAGGATGACTCAGAGGAAGATTCAGAAGATGGCTCAGAAGAATATATTATCAATGGCAATGGGTTAAACGAAAGAGGAGTTAAGAAAAGAGATAACAAATATCATAGCCAAAATGATAGTCATTCTAAAGAAAAGAATTTCCAAAATGAATATTACGAACAAAATGATGAAGAAGAGTCAGAGGATGATCAATTACCAAAAGAATATTATTATGATGAAGATTTAGAAGAGTTTATTGAAAAACCATCACATAATCCATTTAAACGTCGTCGTTCAAATATATTTTTACAAAAAAAATCGCCTGAAACATATATGAAATTATCACCAGATAATAATTATAATAATTATAATATTAATAATAATAATAGTATTAATAATAATAATAGAAATAATAATCATAATATTATAGATAATAATAATAATAATAATAATATTAATAATAATAATAATAATAATAGCGGTATAAATAGTAATGTAGACAATACAAATAATTCTGAAGGTAAAATGATTGAAGAGATTAAAGAGTACTTAAAAGATCCAGAGGATAATGCAGTAGAATTAAAAGAAAGAAAATTCAAAATTAAAGAAAAGATATTAAAAATCAAACAAAGTTATACAAGTGGTAAAGGTGGGTTTTTATCAAAATTTTTCAATCGTTATAAATTACCAACACCAGAATCCATGACAGTAACTCAGTATGTCTCACCATATTTCAGTTTGGATGTTTCTCAATGTGAAAATGTTAAAGATATCGAATCTGACGATTATGAATACGAATACGAGGAGGGTTATGACGAAGAAGAGGAAGAAGAGGAAGAAGAAGAAGAAGAAGATTATGACAAAAATCAAAAACCAAAATATCAACAATACGACGAAGAGGATGAATACGAATACGAAATTAGAAAACAATATGAAAAGTATTATTAAATAAATTAATAAATATTGTACATAAATAATCATTTTTTTTTTAGTTTCAATTATATATAATACATATACAAATTTATATATTAAATATTATAAAAAATATTATAATATTATATAAAATAACTAAACTGTACATAGACCTAAAAATAAATAAAATTTGTTATCCAAATTTTTTAAATTTAGCTTTTTCAAATTATTTTAATATTTTTTAAAAATTTTATTTTTAATCATAAATCATCAACAGTTTATATTTTATTAATTAATAAAAACAGTAACTTTTACACATATTTACCACTTCACAAAAACCAAACTCCTCTCGATAAAAAAAAAAAAAACCACACATCCTATTTTTGGATTTTTTTTTTTTAACATTTCAAAATAATAAAATTAAATCAATTCAAAAAAGATAATTCCTGTAAGATTAGAAATATAATATCGAATACAATTAAGTTGGGTTTAAAAATACTTGAATATTTAAATTAAAAAATTTATTTATTAAAATTTTTAAAAAATCGATTGTTTAAAAATCCAAAATGGATTTTGATTACCAATCTCCAAATAATTTCTTTTAAATTGGATTATAGATTTCTCAATTCATTACTTTTTAATTTTAAATATAAAATTTAAAAGTTTATTTTTTGAAACTCAGGAATGGCATTATATTGAATACTAGAAAGATGAGCTGTTAAAAATATACTTTAAATTTTATTTAATTAAATTTGATTTAATTTTTGGTTTGATTATTTTTTTTTCAGGGTATAAAAAGGATTTATTTTTTTTTAATAAATATTCAAATCAAATATCCAAATATTCAAATCAAATTTTAAAAAAATCAATATTAATAAAAATGAAATCAATTTCAATAGTTTTAATTATATTTTTAGTAAAATTTTTGGTTTCTGCAGAAACTAAAACTGAAGTTAAAGTAATTATAATTTTTATTTTTTTAATAAAAAAAAATAACTTCTAATATAATTTTTAATTTTAAAAATGTAGGTTCCTATCAGAGCTAAATCACAAGGGGGTGTAATTATCATTTTAAAAGTTATTATTTTATATTTAATATCAATTAAATAATTATTTATATTTTATAATAGGGTTCAAACAATTGTTACGTTAGCTTTGGTGGCAACACCATTTATTTAAAGGGACGTGGTATCAATGTTATCACATTCGACCCAAACGTTCCTTCCGCCATTGAAGCTTCCGTTTTTGATACAGATAGTTATGGTATAGTTAGTGGTGGTAGTAGCGCTAGCGCTAGCTTTTTAAATTATATGAACAATTTTGAATATCAAGGCCAAATAGTTCTTATTGTTAGTGTTGATGATTCAGCTTCATGTTTGTCTAATGAAGCTAGAAGCTTTTTAAAGAAGTATGGTATCGATTCAATTGGTTTCAGATCATCTTTTGTTACAGTATTAATATCCGATATGAATTATAAATTCACAAAAATTAGATCAAAATATAATATTACTGAAAGTTCCTCTTCCACTCTAGATTTTATTTATTCTGCATAAACAAATTATATAATTTTCAAAAAAAAAAAAAAAAAAAAAAAAAATTTAACTTTATTAATATATTTATAAAATAAAAAAAATAATTAGTTTTTTATACCCATTATCTATTTATTTTATTTATTTTGTTTTTTAAATTATTTTTAACTTAAAAACTTTTTTTATATTTTTTTAAAATTTTTTTAAAATTTTTTAATTTTAAATTTTTTAATAATTTTTTTTTTTTAAATAATAATCATATTTTTATTCATTCATTCATTTATTTATTTATTTATTTATTTATATTTATTTATATATTATTTATAAAACTAACAAAATGGAAAATAATAGTAGTATTAAATTACCAACCAGTTTATTTAATAATAAGCCATATAATCACTTAGAAACTATTTCTAAATTATCAACTGATCCAACCAAAGTTAACGATCCACCAGTTATAATTGAAAAACCAGAGGGTATGAAGTTAGAAAAGAAAATTATAACAAAAAGAGATTTAAGATCATTCCACACTTCATCAACATATGGCGAGTTATTAAATTTTGTAATACAATTATCATTAGATTGCCAAGGAAAATCATTAAAAAATGATTTACCACTTACAAATGTAAGCTTTTTATTTTAAATATATTATATATATTTAAATATATTAATATTAAAATTATTATTTAGAACGTTAAATTATTACTAGAGTTATTAGAAAAGTTAAATCAATTTGTTAGAGATATTCCACCTAAACCAATTAGAACTAGATTTGGTAATGAATCATTTGTAGAGTGGATAGATTTAATTGAAAGAGAAGCACCTAAAATTTTATTTAATTTATTAAACAATAAAGCAATTGATGAACCTATAGAGCAAGAAATACCATTATATTATCAAGAGATATCAGGCTATTTAACTCATAGTTTTGGTGATAAATCAAGAATTGATTATGGCAGTGGTCATGAGTTAAACTTTATTTGTTTCTTGTAGGTATAGTAATAATAATAGTATTAGTTAATTAAGGGATATTAATTAATAGTTTATTTTAATTTATATAGATTTTGTTTAGTTAAAATTGGATTTTTAAAAAGAGAAGAATATCAATTATTAGTATTAAAGGTATTTTTTGGATATTTAAATTTAATGAGAGTATTACAAGAAAACTATTGGTTAGAGCCAGCTGGTTCTCATGGTGTATGGGGTTTGGATGACTATCACTTTTTACCATTTTTATTTGGATCATCACAATTAATCGAACATAAATATATCAGACCAAAATCAATTAGAAATGACGAAATTATAAACTCAAGTTTTGCAGAAGAGTATATGTATTTAGGTTGTATCCATTTCATTAATAAGGTTAAAACAGGTGGTAGTTTATTAGAGCATTCTCCAATGTTGGTCGATATCAGCGGTGTTAAAAACTGGTCAAAGGTTAATGAAGGAATGATTAAAATGTATAAACAAGAAGTTTTAAATAAATTACCAATTATGCAACATTTATTATTTGGTTCCATTCTTCCATATATAGATAATCCAGATGTCAAAGAAGAACCTTCTGAATTAGCAGAAAGAAAACCAATAGTAACTCATTCATTCTCATCCTGTGGTTGCATTTCTAGAGTACCTTCAGTTTTTGCTGTTGCAAATACAGATAAAATTATAGCTTCAACAAATAGTACAACTGATAATAATACTCCTCACTCTCACAATCATTCAAATGAATGCGATTCAACTGATCATTCTCATCACAATCACAATCATACTCATAATCCAAAACCAAATTATTTCCCATTAGATTAATTTAATAATAAATATAAATAACCTATAAATAAATAAATAAATAAGGTTTTTTTTTTTTTTTTTAAAATTAATTTAATTTTATTTATTAAAGTTTAATTTTTTGATTAGGTTTTTGGTTATTTTAGAATTTGCATAGTTTAGAGTTAAGGAATCTATTTGATTAGATTCTTTGACATTATTTGGGTTTGATATAATGAAATCTAAATAATCTAATACTTTATCTGTTGATTCTTTTGATTCTATTATTAATTTCCATTCATTTAGCTCTACTGGCGATAGAGAATACTCAGTTGAAACAATTGATATTAGTTCCTTAAAGGTTATTGGTGATCCTACAATATTATAAATATTTAAATTATAGTGATTGTTGGATTGTTGTTTTTTATTTATCCAATAGTTGTCATTAAATATTGTACTTATAATACTCTCTGATAACCATGATATTGGTACAGTATTTGTTTTGAATTCTAGATCATTTGGATACATTCCGACAGATATGCAGCTTTGTAAGAGAGAGTATATACTGTTATTGGAGTTGGATATAATGAAAGGAGTTCTTATTATCATACATGGAACTTTAAGTTGCTGAGAGAATTGTTGTATTAAATGTTCTGAAACTGATTTTGAATTTAAATAACCATTCCAGGGATATTCTTCATTTTGGAACGATGGTAGCTCCACAGCGAGGAGATCCTTATATTCACCACTCTTGAAATTTAAAAAAGATGATGAAAAATGAACTATTCTTTTAAATGAGGTCGAGGTTGATAGTTTAATGATTTGTTTAATTCCATTAACATTTGTTGATCTACATGTGTCATAGGATGAGTTTATATTATTGTTTGAAGCAACATTTATTATGAGATGAACTGATTTAGATAAATGTTGATATTCAATATTTGATAAGCCCAATTTCTCCTTGTCTAAATCTCCAATAACAGGTATAATTTTTTGAAAATCTCGATCATTCATTTGATTGTAGAGATTGTATTTTTTTAAAGTATTGTTTATTTTTTCATTTGCTGCCATAGTATTTCTAACGCCTCTTACTAAACAATAAACAGTTTCGCAGTTTATGATTCTTAATATTTGTAACAATAAATGGGACCCCATGTAACCAGTACATCCGGTCAAAAGGATTCTAATAGATTTAGAACGAACTGAATCAATTGGTTTAACATTATCTTGATAATTTTGTATAATTTCTTCATATAATGATTCTTTTTCCCACTGAGACTTTATGTTTTTATTTTCTATAACTATTGAAGTTGCCCCATCTAATATTATTTCATTATCATTTATATTTAAATTATTAATATATTCATAAATATCTTTATTAGTACTATTACTATTATTATTATTATTATTTTTAAAATTATTAATATTTTTTTGATTTATATCATTTGATACTATTAATGTTGATGAGCTATCTTCGATATTAAAACTATAATAATCTTTCATTCTAATAGTATTTAAAAATTAAATATTCTTCAACTATTATTTAAATGATAAAAAATTAATAAATATAAATTTTTATAACTGTGTTGTTTAAAATGAAATTATTTTTACTGACCTAAATAAATTAAAAAAACAAATTAAAAAGGGTGGGGTTAAAAATATTTAATTTTTTTATTTTTAATTTTTTAAATTTTTTAAATATATTAATAAAAATTTGGTTAAATATATTTAACATATTTAGAAGATAATTAACCTTCCTATTTGAAAAAAAAAGGGTAATAATTTGATAAGAAAACAATCTTTAAGATCTTTTATTCCAATTTAGGTGGTTATTATTTTGTATAAACTTACTTCACTAATTGTAAATTGGATTTAATTATTAAAAAATCTTTTAAAATATCCACAAGTGTTTACAAATAAATACTTTAATCAAATAATTAAATGGAATTTTTTTTTTTTTATTATTTATTTATTTATTTTTTTTTTTTTTTTTTTTTTTTTTTTTTTTTTTTTTATTTAATCATTTTTTTTTTTGATAATGAATGAGTTATTAAATAATAATTTAATGTTAGCACTTAATAAATACACATACGTTAAATACATTTGTATTATTTATCAAAGAACAACATTGCAAAAAATTTGAGTCATAGGTCCAAGATTTTTTATCACAAAGTTTAAAAAATTTCAAAGCTCCAATTTATAAAAAGTATTAAATCAACAAGATAAACATCATAATAAAAATATTTTAGTAAAATTAAAAAAAAACTTTTATTTTTAAAAATGATTACAATTTTAATAAGAAAATTCATATATATTTAATTATAAGAACATTGGCATGAGCCATCTTTTGTATGTGAACAGAAATCATTATTTTTATTATTATTGTTATTTAGTGTATAGGGTAATTAATATAATTGATCTATTAATCTTTGTTGTTTATTTTTTTTAATTTGTTTTCAAAATTTTGTATAAATTTGATATTACTCTTTCTCTTTTGTATTACATACACAATTGATATTGAAATGACAATAACAAAAGCAACACACCCTATTACAATACCTGCAATTTTAGTTGCTGTTAATTTAGAATTATTTGTGCAAATTGAATTGGGAGATGATGAAGCTGAATCACTATCTATTAATACTGAAAAATCTGGATCTATTATTGCATTTTTTTCAAACCATGGAATTAAAATACCTATATATGATTGTGCCTGGTGTGCATTTGATACTACTGCCATATCTTTATCTAGTAAAACATTTTCTATTGATTTAGGTTTTGAATCCAAAATACCTCTTCTAATAAATCTGCCATAAAAGGATCTTTTTTCAATTTGAAATTTGAAATAATTTGAATTATCACCTGTTGAAGTTTCACCAAATTCTTTAGAGGAGCACACATCATGTGTTTTACTAGATTCAAAAGATGCGAGCATTACCAATTGTAAAGAGCTTACACGGGTTGAAAATGGATAGTTTATGATTTCAATTGTATATTTAATGGAGGATGGATTTAAGGTTATGTTTTGGTTTGCAAATTCTATTTTAGATTCATTTTCGAACCATTTCAATGTTGCAACTACTGATGTATCTACTTTATTACCATTCGAATCTGTTACTGAAATATTGGTAACGTATTGGTTTGTGAAGGAATCTATTTGAGAATGAATCCATCTACTTAACACATGGTTATTGGTTTCTTTACCATCAATTGATAATTCTCTTAATGAAACCAATGAAACCAATGATTTGTAAAATACCTTTTCGACTGGTATTTCACTGCTAGTACTGCTATCACTTCCATCATCGGATATTGGGATTTCGGTAGTTGGGGATGTTTCGTTAACTTTTGGTGGTGGTACAACAATAACCTTAGACATGCAATCTAAACCAATCCATGGTGAGTAACAAACACAACCACTATCCTCAATACAAAAACCTTGATTTTTACCACCACATAAAGGGGTTCCTACACATTTTTGTGGTTTATTTGTTTGAATTGGTGTTGAGCTTGGAGTTGAGCTTGGAGTTGAACTAGGTGAATTTGAGGGTGAGGGTGAAGGTACTAATACTACATTTTCGCTTCTATTGTAATAGATTGGATATACAGTTAGAATATTTGAATACATATTCATAGAATTCATGGTGTATACAGTAAATGTTCCATTAATTTCATATTTTGGATCTCTTGGGATTATTAAAACGGTTTGGCCAATAATTTTTATAGGTGTATAAAACATAGTGACCTCATATGAATAGGTTATAAAGACGCTTACAGTACTCTTTAATTGTTTACCATATAAAATTATATCAGATTTTGTTGAAGTATACAGGGGTTCATAATTGGAAAGAACTGGAGAACTTGAAGATTTAATGGTTTTAATTTTTTCACCTGTTCCTGGATGTGATTGGCCAGAATAAATACCAGCTTTGTTAATAGACCCATATATTGAAACCCATAAGCCATCTGGATAACCAAAGCCATACGGGATATCAATAACACATTTATATTGTAATGTTGGGATTGTTAATATAATTGTTGATTCGCACTCTATTGTTTTCATATCGGACGATAATAAATATACCTTTGGAAATTGATCACTCATTATTTCATTCTCTGGATCTATTACACTAAAAGTGAAAGTTACAGTCCTAAAATTTGAAAAGACATCCACAGTATCTTTATCGAATTTATAATCACCAAAGATTGGGCCTGTTGTATCAGTTGTAGTTTGAGTTAAACATGATGAAGCTGTTTTTAGAACACTTTCATCGCCTATAAAGTTTCTTAATGGATTTCTTTCTGGTTCCTTTATTGGTGTAAATCTTGAAAATTTAGAATATCTGCTATTTCTATCTTCTAAATATATTTGTTCAATTGTAAAATACTGGAATATGCAATATTGATCAATTTCTATTAAAATATCATATTGTGCTTCAAAAATTGTGCCACTGCCTATTTTATCTGCTATAGTAAAGTTGAATTTATAAATAGAGTTATCTAGAGATCCAACCGCTTTGATATATCCTTTCTTGAAACCATTGGTCTCGTCAGTAATTGTTATTCTCCAACCAACTTTGCCAAAATCGTTTGCATTGATAATATTTGAAATTATTGGGCCGTCATTATCAAATTTTGTTCTTGAAACTCTAAGAGGTGTTAAAATGGAACTATCTATGGATGGAGCAGTAACACTAGAAGGGGATATCACGTATGGAATTTCCCCTGAATCAGTATTCATTGGAACAATGAAATCGCAATAAAATAATTTTAGTTTTTCATCATATAAAATTGGTATTGGCTCACTATTTCCTTCCGAACTACTGTAACTAAATGATACCTGATCAGTTAATCTAAAAGTCATAGGGTAATCTTTAGGAACTGTAGAGTTAAAATAAATTGAATTATAGCATGGTCTATCGAAAATATCGATATCATTTACCAAGAATGTGACATTAAAAATAACCACTTTTAAAAATTAAAAAAATTAGTATGCGTATTAAAAATAAAGTTTATAAACTAATACATACAATCATAGGTTTCAACTCTTGGTTCTACAAAAACAGGAATGTTATTTGAGTCGTGAGCAATATAATCTGAAGGAAATTTATTAAGTCTATTTCCTATTAAATCTTTAATTGAGAGATAATTTTGAAAATTAGTTATATCAACAACTAATTCAAACTCACCATTTTTAAAGTCACCACTAGTTAAGCACTCTAATCCATACTCTAATTCTCCACCTAGTTTTTTTAAAATTATTTTAGAAATCATGGTTTGATCATTAGCTTTTAATTTTAATAGATATTTAAAACCAATGATATGATCAAACTCAACAAATGAGATTTCTGGTGGATAAATATCTATATTTAATAAAATAAAGTAAAGAATTAGTATTATTAATTATTTTTTAAAATTTTAATAAATTATATATTTACCATTGTTTATAATATAATTAGGGTTATTGTAAAAGGTTGTGTCCCCATATGGATATTCGCCATATGAAAAATCTTGGTTTGATAAAGTGTTTGATACTTTACAATGATACCTTACAGAATATACAAAGGACAAACTATTTCCTGAAGAATGGCCAAATGGAAATTCTGATATAAAACTATTACCAGCAAATGAATGTATATATGGTGTATTCCTATAAACATATCCTGAGTATGTGGAAAAAGTCCTTATGAGTGTTTCGGTGGCCGGAGAGTGGGCTGCACCACCATTGGGCAACAAATACCATTTAAAATCTAGTAAAAAATTATTAATACCTATTTATATAAATTAAAATAAATATAGTTCGACTACTTACCGTTTAATATTGCTTCAACTTTAATATTTTCTAAATTTTTCCCATTATTATAATAAAAATTATAAGTAAATTCAGTTAAATATTGTAAATCAAACAATGGAAATATATACGAATAATGTAAGACCCCATCTTTTTCCACTTGACCAATCTTTTTTACATAACTTTCTACCCCATTATATACGTATATTGGGATAAGATATAAATTTTCATTTGTCAAATTAGTTGTAAAATAAACTAAAGGACCATTTAAATTTGAATATTGTATAATTGGATTTGAAAGAGAACTTGGATATGTAACATAATCTATGGCCTGATACCCAGTATAAGTTGGTTTTAAATTAATTTCAAATGATTTCGATGGGAAATTAATAAAAAACTTCAATCCAGCAGAGTCGAAAATATAAATATTATCTGGATATATACCTCTAAATTCAATACAATAAAGTTCTTTTGTTAAAGGATAAATACTATGAGAATACTGCCCTGTTGTTGTTATACTTAATGCTTTTAATTTGTATTTTAAACCTTGAATTTGAATATAAGTATAGATTGTACCACCTATGCTTTTATGGGGCTTATCGAATTTTGGTGTAATTGTTAACAAATCTTCATTTAAACCTGTAAAAATATAAAAATATAAAAATATAAAATAAAATATTAATTATTTTAATTTTTTTTTTTTTAGTTTTTTTTTTTATTGATTATTATAATAATAAATATACTTGCTTTCACATAAAATATTTATAGTAAACACTGTGAATATGTTCAAATTATCAGAATTATAAATTTTAAATTGCAATGGGATGGAGGTTGGTGAGGGATCCACTTCGAAATTAATTAAAAAATAGTTTTTTTGTGTACTGATTGCCATAGTCTCTTCACTATCAAAAACTATACCATTTAAATTTCTTGCTGAATATCTTAAATTGAATTCACATTTTAAAGCTGATCCAGGATAATCAGCATAATTATTATTGGGGTATTCATATAGTTCAACATTATTATTTGATGGTGATAATTGGCTATTAATTAAAAAAATAAAATTAAAAATAATTAAAAAAAATGAAAAACAATTTTTCATTTTTATAATATAAATAAAAAATATTATTAAGAATAAAAAAACACAAAAATATATGTATAAAAAAAAAAAAAAAAAAAATATAGAAAAAAAATAAAGAAAAAAAATAAAGAAAAAAAAAATAAAAGAAAAAAAAAAAAAATAAAGATAAAAAATCCAATTTATAATGTGTTGGACAAAAAAACAATTGGATATTTTAATCAAGATAATGGTTAGAGAAAAAAAAAAAAAAAAATCGAAAATATCGAAAATATCAAAAATATCATAAAAAAATAAAAATTTTGAGTTTGTGTGTATCAAGTATATCATACGCACTATTTCGTTTATCGTGTTGTTTTTTTTATATTTTATTTAATTTTATTTGTTTTATTTTATTTTTTATTTTTGTGGTAATGGGATTGGTTTCATGTTTCTTAAAATAAATAATGGTGGAGCAATTTCGTTGTGAGACTCGCATTCGGCTAAATCATGACCAAAAGGAACTTTACCCCAAACCTCTGCTTGGTACTCCTCTTCTAAAGCAATTGATTTATAGAGATTATCTAATCTAATTTTTCCATAATAGAGGTTGAGTGCTAATAAATATGATTTAGCAGATTGAGAAATTAATTGTAAACAACATAATTCGAAATTATTCATTGAATTTAAGTGGTCTTTAATGGATGTTAATAATTCTTGTGGATGTTTTGATGTTTCGAGATGTTTAGAAATTGTAAATTCTTTACCATAATATTCTGATGCAAAATTAACGACTGGATCAAAAAATTCTTTTTGGAGTTTTTGAAGTTTTGAATCATACATTTCTCTGTTGCATGTTGGATCTGTAGCTAAATGATTAAGAAATTCGCCAATGACTTTTTCTCTACCCTCTGGTCTAATTTCTAAACATGTAATAATAGTTTGAGTCTAATATTTATTTATTTATTGTGATTAATGTGATTATTTTAGTTTATTTGACAATGATTTTGTATATTTTGATGATGATGATGATGATAAAAATAATATGATTAGTAAATAATGATTTTTATGTTTTATTTTTTTTTTTATATTTACAATTGGTAATCTTGCAGGTCTAATATATTTTTCTTGAGCAGCCCATTCAGCAGCAATTGATAAGGCAATTTCTTTAGATGGTACTACAACTAAAATATCATTTGGGGTTTTAATTCTTCTATCGTCAATAGTTGGTAAATATCCACCCAACTCTTCGTCATATGTATAACCAGTTGTTTTATACCATCTTAATGATGTACCATCACTTTTTACACCTTCTAATGCAACATCACCTTTAAAGAATTTTGATTGTGTTTTTTCTTCAAGTTTTTTATTTTGTTCTTCTGTTATATTGGATTTATTTACAGTTGATGTAAAACTTCTATTTATACAATTATTATAATTATTGAAACCATTTCTAAAAATATTATTATTTATTGAAACATTATTATTTCTAAAAACACTTTTTGCTAATCTAATAGTTTTCATTTTTAATAATATATACAAAATAAATTAAATGAAATGATCAAAAATATGCCACTCGTTAAAAAAAAAAAAAATTAAAAACAAAAAAAAAAAAAAAAAAAAATTAAAAATTATAAAAAAAAAATAAAAATCTTTTTTTTTTTTTTTTTTTTTTTTTTTTAAAAATAAATAAATAAATTTTATTAATAATCAAACCAAAAAAGAACATAAAGAACAAATATATAAAACCTTATCAAATTGGAATTTTCATTCTATATATAGATTTTATTTCTTTTTTTTTATTTTTATTTTTTTTTTTTGAAAAATACAATGATTTTTATTTTTTAATTTTTATTTTTTTATTTTTTTTTTCTAAAATTTTTAATTTTTTTTATTTTTTTCTTTTTTTTTTTATATTATAGTTTTATATTAATTTTATTTTTGTAAAAGGTTTTATTTTTAATTTCTTTTTTTTATATAAATACATATATATTTTTATATTCATTAAAATGGAAAAAAGAAAAAGTATATTTTTTGCAGATGATGGAGATAGCAATAACTCTTCATCAGATTTAAGCAGTTTTACCAAACGTGGAACCATCACACCTGGTAAAATTGCAAATGCCCGTGAGGGTGAATTATCTCAAATGATTGATGTAGAATCAGAACAAAAATATCAAGAAATTATAGAGCTTTTGGTTACTGGTGGTTATTTTAGAGCTCGTATTCAAGGTCTTTCACCATTTGATAAAGTAGTTGGTGGTATGGCATGGTCCATTACTGCAAGTAATGTTGATGTAGATGCTGATATTTTCTTTCAAGAAAATTCAAACATTAAACAAAAAGTGTAGGTATAAATATACGTTTATACAAAATTTAGAAAATAGTATGAACTATTATACTAATTACCAACCAATATAGTTCATTATCTGAAGAATTAATTAAAGCTTTGAATCGTATGAAATGTCCATTCCCATTACAAGCACAACATATTACTTTATTAAATTATATAGCATTATTTCCAATTATAAGATGGTTGATTGCAAAAGTTATTGAAACCAGAGAAGAAACAGGTGATTTATTAAGACAATATTCAGAAGCAATGTTCAGCAAAGATTATATAGCACCTATCGATAAAGAAATGAAACAATCAATTTTACAATCATGTGATTTTATAGATACCGTAGAAAAACGTTATAAACCAACACGTAAATTTAAAAGAAATACAGGAACAACTAAAGCAACACCAATCCAAACATTATTAGAATATGGCAAACTTCATCGTGTTAGTCGTTTACCATCAGGTACAACTGAAAAATCAGAAGCTGCACAAAAATTAGAATCAACATTATCATCACAATCATCAGCAGAAGACAGCGAAAAAGAAGAAGAGAAAAAGATTAAACAAATGATGAAGGGTATGAAAGGTGTTGAAAGTGATTTATCTAAAGTTAGTGGTGGTGTATTAAAGTCATTCCTTCCATCAGAAGAAATTACAAATCTATCAGAACGTTATGGTGATATGGAAAATAGTGGTTTTGGTGACTCTAAACAATTGGGTGAAAAATTACATAGACAAAAGATCAGCAATCTTGAAAAACTTATAGCACAAAAGAATCAAGAATTGGAGTCAATTAAATCTGATCACGAACAACGTCAAAAAGAATTAGAGGAGCTTCAATTATTAGTACAAAAGAAACAAGCATTCAACGAACGTATCATTAGAGAAACAGAGAAATTAGACCAACTTGAAACACCAGAAAACACCAAAGCACTTCAAGCACTTCGTGCATTAGTACTCTTAAACGAGACATTAGTTGCACAAGAAGAAATGTTCAAAGCAAGTTGCAAAAGACAAATGGCAGAGTATAAGGCTAAGATTGAGGCACTCCTCCAAGAAGATGCATCGGCCAACGAAGATGCCGAGGACTCTGAAAGACAAGAACAAATTAATCAAGCTTTCGACGCTGATGTTATGAAATTGAAAAAACTTAAATTACTCCTCAACAAAAAGAATAGAGACCTTTCATTACTCCAACGTTTCCTTGACGAATTACCATCACGTGCCGAACTTTTACAATACCAAAGACAATTTGTTGAACTCTCTGAACAGAGCTCTGCCAAATTGGTGGAAACTCGTCAATACTATACCACATATAACACCTTTGAAGATAAAAAGACTCTTTTAGAAAACGAGCTTTCCATTCTCAACTCAATTCAATCAAAATATAGTGTTGCAATGTCTTCAGCCAATAATAAAGAAATGTTTATTAAATCAATGGATCAAATTATTGCAGGTATTCAAGAAGTTTTAGATAAAAGTGAATCAAAATGGAATATTGAAAAATCTCGTCACGATACTCTCTCAGATCAATACATGTCATTATTAGATCAAGAAAGAAATTACTATAAACTCACAAAAGATTTCGAAGAAGAATGCAGAAAGAATGAAGTTTTAATTAAAAAACTAAATGAATTACAACCATCACAATAAAAAAAAAAAAAAATTCATTATTTGCTATTTTTAATTTATTTGTTATTTTCATTTATTTTTTTGGATCAATTATAGAGAAAAATATCTGTGTGTATTTTTTTATAAAATTTTTTTTTTTTAATTTTTTTTAAATTTATTTTTTTTTTTTTTTTTTTTATTAATTTTTTTTAAAAAATATATATTTATTTTTTTTTTTTTAAAATTTGCATTTTGCAATAAAAGAATAAACAAATTAATAATAATAAAATAAACTACATGTATAATATATTTTAAAGAAGAGATTATATGTATATAATCATATAATCATATAATACAAAATAATAATGACACAACAACAACCTCCACACGGTTATCAACAACAACAGCAACAATTACAAATGATGCTATTTAAAGATTTAAAATATTCAATTAACTCTTGGATTACACCTAGTGTTTTAATTATATCATCTCCATCAGTTGGTAAAATATTTCAAAAATCTGGTAATACATCATTAGAACAAGTTTTTGCACAATATATTTTAGAAAAGAAAAAAGGTAAGAAATCATAAAAATAATTATAAAATTATATAAAATTAGGGGTAAAGTAGTTACTAATCATTATTACCCACTTTATTATTTTCAGTTAACGTTAAAGTACACGATCAAACTTATGAAATGAATGATTTTAAAGTTAATTTTATATCACCACAATATTTTGATCAACAAACCCAAAGTCAAATTTTAAAAGATACAGCATCATCAATTGATTCTTTAGCAACTGATGAATACTATCCAAATTTTAAATTAAGATCAAAACAAGATGTACAATATTTCAATAAAAGTAAGAAACAACAGCAAAGCTATATTCGCGCTATAAAAAATTGTGTATATTAATTTTTTTTTTTTTTTTAATAAAATAGTTTGTTCTGAACCAACACCATGGTTTGAAAAGTATAGATATCAATTTATAAAATCACTACATAATTTAGATTTAGAAACATTTACACATCCAATCGCAATTATTTTAGCAACATCATCAGAAGATTCAAATCCAATTGGTTTATTAGTAAAAATGTTTGATTCAGCAAAACCACCACCAATTTTTCAACAATTAGGTATTGAAGCTGCAAATATCCCAAAAATATATATGTTGGTACATCCAGATAACTCACATGCAGAAAGTGAAAAACGTTTAGGTGAAATGAAACAAACCTTTGGTTCATCCCAATCTTATTTATTAAGAGTTAATACAAAAGAAGATCATTGTGGTTTAGGTTATGATCATTCAACTGCTCATTTAAATCCATTGGCCCCAATTATTAATGACATTTTATCAAAACATATCCCAGTTTATTTCGAAAAAGCTATTGGCGAATTAAATGAAAATGTAACTATTCAAAATTTTAAATATTTTTAAAACTATCTTTTCTTTTTTCTAACATTTTATTTTTAAAGATTGCAACAAATAAAAAAAGTTTCTTTTCTAAAGTTAAAGCATTTAGATTTGGCGGTAAAAAAACAAATGAAAGTGAATCAGATAGTAATAGTCCCAACAATTCATCAACAGTCGAACAATCACTTAGAAAGGTTGGTGATCTTTATTTCTTATTGCAAGATTATGAAAATGCTTTATCAAATTATAAAACTTTAGCCAAAGAATTCAACAGTGATAAATCACCAAATTTTTATGCCTCTGCAAATGTAATTACATTATTATAATAATAATAATATAATAATAATAATAGAATAATTATTAATTTATTTATTTTTAATAGGAAATGATAGGTTTATGTAATTATATGATGAACAAGGAAAGTGAATCATATTTTGAAATTGCATATAATAATTATATTAAAGGTAGTTTGGTACACTGCGCGGCAAGAGTAGCAATGATTCATGGGTATATTATGAAGAAGAAATCAAATTTTAAAGGTGTTTCAGATTTATTTAAACAAACTGCAGAAATTAGAGATATCGATCCATTTTGTTCAGCTATACTATGGGAGCAAGCAGGTTTTTCATTACTACATACAACACCATCACCATTATTTAGAAAAGCAACCATGAGAATAGTTATGGCAGGAGATAAATATTCAGAAGCAGCCAAAAGAAAACATGCACTTCGTTGTTATAGTTTCTCTTATTCAGTTTATGAAGGTAGAGATTGGAATTTAATTGATGATCATTTACATTTATCATTAGTTAGATATTCATTCTTCCAAGGTAATACCAGCGATGCAATATTATTTGTAAACAAATTACTCGAAAAGAATTGTCAAACCTTCCAAAAACAAAACTCAATCATTAGAGAGTTTTTATATATCAGTAAGAACTATGGTACAAATAAAGAAAACTATATAGGCGAGTTACCAATTCCATCAATTCATAACGAAAGTATCTCAGTTCATTTGAATGATTATTCACCAGATGGAAGTCAATCAGTATGGCAAGAGATGGAAGAAGCCTTCAAGAAAGAAGCCCAGGTCATTAGCAAACCACTATTACAAGGTTTTGATCTTTGGAAGAGAGATTTGTATTTCGAAACTGAAAAAGAAAGAACAGCGGTAGTTGAGGAGCAAATTACAGTCGAAGTTGAAATTAAGAATCCACTTCAAATTCCATTACAGTTTAATCGTGTTCATTTAGTTGCCACCTATAAAGAAAATGATGCATCAAATACTGATGGAGCCATCGAAGAATCCAATATGTCACCACTAGATGACGAGAATATGAAGCGTATGATGGACGGATCCACTCCATTCAAGGTTGAACCATTGGATATTTTATTGTTACCAACAGAAGTAAAGAAAATAACCTTCTCTATCCAACCAATGAGACCAGGTTTATTACAAGTCAAAGGTTTAGGTTTATGTATGTGTGGTGCTGTATGGGGCAAACGTGAATTTAAACTAAAGCAAAAACGTCTCAATAAGACCAGACAACAAAGAGAATCCGTTGTATACGAACAAAATCTTTCTTTAACTTTCCGTGTTACATCACCAATGCCACGTTTAGAAGCTCAATTTTTAGAATTCCCAGATGCTCTCTACCACGGTGAATTAAGACAAGCCAAGCTCCAATTAAAGAATTGTAGTAATAAAATGGGTTTAAAGAATGTTCGTGTTCGTCTTAGTCATCCAACCTCTGTTTGTTTTGGCAGCAATAGCAATGATGCATCCGTAGTCAAATCATTGGATAAATCAGTTTACTTGGATGTTTCATTACCACCAAATGCCACTGTTACCGTTCCATGCTGGGTTCGTGGTATGTCTGTTGGAAGACACACCCTTCGTTGTTTGGTTTACTATGAATCTGAAGCTGGTAATACCGATTTGAAATATCGTTTAGCTCGTTGCCAAACCCAATTCGACGTTAGACCATCAATTAGAATCTCTTCACTTTCACAACAATCCTGCTCTGGTTTAAACTCTTATCTTTTAGGTGTTGAAGTCGATAATCCAATTATTGGTGGCGGTGGCGATAGCTTTAACCTTAAACAAATCTCTTCCATCAGTAATTTTTGGAAGATTGAACCGCTATCATACAATGCAGATGTACCAAATCCCTCTATAGTCTCTTTAAATCCTGGACAATTTACAAACTTATTCTTTAGAATTGAACCAAGCGAAAAAAATATATTAAAAGATAACCAAAATCAAAAAGATATTTCAATAACAAATATTAGCTTTTATAAAAATGAACCAATGTATGACAGTAGCTCTTTCCCAATTTACAACTTTTTAGAATATGAAAAATTAAATCATGAGTTACAACAACAACAACAGCAACAACAAAACCAACAATCAAATAACCAACAACCACAACAACAGCAACAGCAACCACAAATTAGTCACCAACAGTCACAACAGCAACTACTTTTAAATAACTATAATAATTTAAATGATAATAATCCTCTAATTGATAATCATCCAAATCAAATTGATTTATTAATATACTGGGAATGTAACAATAATAATAGAATGGGTGTTTTAAATAGCCCAAATATTTCATTTTTACCAACACATTACAGCGACTCCTCACTCTCTATGCCATGGGGATCGTGGAAGAATACAACATCCCCATCAGGTAAAACCATTGCTTATCCATCATTAAAACTACCACTTCGTTATAAAATCAAATCCCAACATTCAATTAAACACAACTTTGAAAATGATAGATTCTGTACCGTTCCATTAAAACTCTCACTTTCAAACTGCTCATTTGTTCATCCACTTCAACTCTCAATCGAAACACTTTTACCTCACGAAAATATAGATCAAACCACCCATTCAACATCCCAATATTTCTGGACTGGTGCTACAAAGTATAATATCGAATTAAAGCCACAAGAAATTACAGATTTACAATTACATTGTTGTTTCACTAAATTTGGAGTTTATAATATAAATAGATTTAAAATCAATGTAAAATTATCAAATGAAATTCATAAAGAAATTTATTCAACAATTCAACATTTAATAAATATTGAACCATAAAATTCATAATATTAATATCATATATATTTTAAAAAAAACAAAACAATATTAAAAATAGATTATAAATAATAAATTTTTAAAAATAAAAAAATAATAAGAAATTTAAAATAATTTTAAAAAAAATAAAGCTATTTATTTTGTTAGAAACTGCGATACTTTATAATGGAACAAATTTTAAAATAAAATAAGTTTCATTAACACCGGCTATTTGATTTAAAGATGCACTACCCTTTTCCATAATTACGATTTTATACCCTAATCTATCTGCTATTTGAATAATTTGTTCGATCTTTGCAAAGTTACAGGTACCGAGTAATAGAAAACCATCATCGGTTAAATATTTTTTAGATTCTGATATATAACGAGTTAATAAAATGTAACCTTGGTCTAATGTTTTTTCAGATCTTAGCTCTTGAATTACAGATTCATTTGAAACTTGCCATGGGTGATTCCAAAAGATGTATTTGTATTTTGATCCATTTGGTAATGAATTATAAATATCACTTTGAAATACATTTGATTCTAATTTATTTAATTTAAAATTTAATTTAGTTATCTCAACAGCATCTGGATTAATATCTACTGATGTAACATTTGCTCCAATTTCTGAAACATATAATGATGAAATGCCTATTCGTATTTTTATTTAAAAATAAAAATTAACATCTAAAAAAAAAAAACTTTTTTATAATTTGAAACTTTACCGGAACCAGCACCTATCTCTAAGAAACTTTCACCTTTTTTAACTATTTTATTGGCTAATGTGGAAGCGTACCATCTACTTTCTGGGAAATGTTTTGGGCTAAATACATTTGGGTGCAATCTAAAAAAAAAAATTATTTAAAATAGGCGAGAAATTTTTAGTTATAATTATACTTATTTTAAGTACAAAAACTTTTAATATAAATATGTAGTTTTTATAAACTTACCTTAATATCTTACCATCCATATCTATACTTTCATTTTCCTTAATTCCATACATTGAAAGAAATAAACTCTTTTGTTCTTCTTGCCATTTATTATTTTCTGTAATATCATTTGTTAGTATAAATTCTTCCATTTTCTATATTATAGAAATCCTATTAAATTTTTTTTAAAATAAATTAAATGATAAATAATAAAAATAATAATTTTATTTATAAAATAATTTAATATTTTTCAACACAAAAAATAAAAATAAAAATAAAAAAACTGTATGGTAATTTTCCAACTAATGATAACTATTATTAAATCTGACCAAACACCTCACACTTCCAAACACAATGCCACAATATAAAAATAAAAATATAATATAAAAAAAAGGGGTAATTTTTTTTTTAATTTTACTAACACATTTTTTGTTTTTAGTGCACGTGGAATCTCAAAAGAATTCTTTATATGTTTCTTTAGATAGTATTTACAAGCAATACATATTAAAAAATACAATAATATTGAAAATTTTTAAAAAAAAAATTTTATACCCCCATTAAAAAAAAAACTATTTTTTATTCAGAAATAAATTGAATAAAGTATATTTAGAAAATTACTTTGGAATATTCTTTGTTTTGGATCACGCTATAAGTAATAATTAAAAATGTTTGTTTTTTTTGTTTTGTTTTGTTTTGCTATGTTTTGTTTTTTAATATTATTAATTTATTGAATAATAAAAATATTTTTAAATATTAAAAATTATTATTACTATTATTATTTATTATTATTATTATTACTACAATAATGATTATAAAATTTTTTTAATTTTGTAACCATGGTAAAGTGTAATTGGTAAAATAAATTTTACAATAATCTTCAATTGGGTGATCTTTATGAGTACAGTCAGTGGTGAAAAAGTGGAGACGACCAGACTCATCAAGAGTTCTGAGACCTAACCAATCTTGGGTGTATTGATCTTGTTGTTGTAATGGAACAATGTTGTCAGTGTTACCGTCGGCATAGAAACCAAACCAACCACTTTCTTTTGGAACAATAGTTTTATCGTTGATACTGTATGAAAGAATCATGTTACTTAAACTGCTGATGTTATCTTTGTAGGTTTGGTTTTTAGCTTCACCCTCATTGTTGATATCAGCTAAAAAGATTGATTTTTCTAAATACTCTGGGATTTTGAATGGGTTTTTCCAATATTCAGCTGGAGCAATGTTATCTTGGACATGATCTGAATAGGTTAAAGTGGTTAATAATTTATCGACCCATTGGATGTTGACAAATGGAGTACCGAATTGACCAGCTTGTGGACCGTTCCAACCGATATAATTGTTAACTTTTGGTTCATTGAAACGTTCAATGAATGCACGAGAAATTAAAGTACCTTGTGAGAAACCAATAACGTTAAAACCATTTGCTAAATTTGGATCTGATTGAACTACATTTTTAAATTCTTCAACTTGTTGGTTCATATCCATAAAGATTGAATCTAATTTACCGTTGCCAATTTCGACATTTTTGACATAAATTCCTGGGAGAGCTTCTTGAATCCACTTTTCTAAATTGTTCATTGCTGAACTGCCTGTGGTGACGCCATGCATTAAAACAACTGGTCTATAAGCTGAAATAATTGATGCGACTGACAATAAAATTAAAAAAACTGCTAAAAATCTCATTTTTTTTCTATTTATTTTTTAAAAAATAAACCCTAAATATATATATTTAAAAATAGAAAATTTTTATCATATATTATTTATTTGATTATTATTAATGAAAGGGTGTGATCAAAAAAAAAAAAAAAAAAATAGGAGTAAAAAAAATTTTATTTTAAAAAAAAATAGGGAAAAAAAAAAAAATTTTATTTTTTTAAATTATTTTTTATAAAATTTTTAAAATTTCCAAAACCATTTCTTTTTACGCACATTTTAAAAAAAATATTTTATATTCATAAAAAAAAATAAAAAAAATAAAAAATTAAAAATAAAAAAAAATAAAAAAATAAAAAAAAATAGACCCTATATTTGATTGCAAAAACCCAAAAAAATCAAATAGATAAAATTATAAAAATAAAATATTTTCACCCATATAATTTTTTTTCTTTTTTTATTTATTCCCTTCCCCCCCAAAAAAAAAATATATAAAAAAATAAAAAAAAAATAAAAAAAATTGATTATAAAATAATATAAATAATAAAATAAATAAAATGTATTTATATTTATTTTTCATTTTCAAGACAGCAAAGCTAAGAAACTAAAACCTAGGTCTTAAGAAAATTTAGTCTTGCACATAAAGGCCCCAGATTTATTTTATCGCACATAATCACAAAAATTTTAAATTAAAAAAAAAAAAAATAATTAAAAAAATAATAAAAATAAAAATAATCAAATATAATCGCTGAAAATATCTAATTCATTCTTAGAGCCATGTATGTGAGTATAGTTATGAACATGTTTGTGAAAAAAATTTATTTTATTTTATTTTTTATTTTTTATTTTTTTCTTTTTTTATTTTTTTTTTTTTAAAATTTTATATCTAAAACTATATTTTTTTTTTCTCTATTTCAGTCCACATTTTTTTTTTTATCTCATATTGTAAAACTATATTTGTATTATTTTTTATTTGTACAATTACTTTATCTGTTTTTTATTTAGTACCAATACATTTTTATTTTTTTTTTCATTTAATTAATATCATAATAACTTTATATATTTTAGCGTGATCATATCATCAAATTTTTTTCTTTTTTGAAAAGTTATTTACATAATTCAATAATGGGCAACAGTAACACAACATCCTCAAAAGCCGCTATGGAAAATAATTTATTATCATTTTTTGGTATGTACAACCCTTTAAAAATATTACAATAAATTAAAAAAAAAAATAGTTTCTATTTTTAAAATAAAACGATTTGATTATAATAATAAAATTTACAACTTCATATTAATAACCGTTTTTTATTTTTTTATTTTCAAAAAAATTTTCTTTTTTTTTTTTTTTCATTAAAATTTTTTTAACTTCATTTTATTTCATTTCTTTTCCTTTTTTAAATTAAATTAAATTAAATTAAATTAAATATAGTTTTAAATTGCGAAAATGGTAATGAATTTAGAAATGATGTTGATAAAAAAGAAATTTTAAAATATCAAAAACACAAATTATCAGTAACAATTAAATATAATGGCAATGAAAAGAGTATTTCATGTGATTATTACAAGAATTCAGTTTGGAACAAAGGTGTAATCCAACATCCATTGGTATCAAATGTAAATAGTTGTACTATCGCATTGGGTTGTAGCACCAGTAAAAAGGCACCAAAATATAGAGAAATCGAATTTGAATTTGGCCAATACCAAGAAGGCCAAGTTATTTCTCTCCAATTCTTTAAAGAGGGTTCCACACAAGAAGAGCAACAACAAGAGTATACTCAAGATGGCGCTGATGAAGTTCCAATGGAAACAACCTCAGGTGGTAATGGCCATCCAACTACTTTAAATATTATTTTCACAAAGAATTTATTGAACTTAAAGAATGAAGTAAATAGTATTATTAAAGAAGTAAGTAATTTTTATAATATAATAAAAATACAATACAGATAGGCTATAAAGGAAATAGTTACTAATACATTGTTTATTTATTTATTTATTTAAATAGACTAGAAATTCTGATAGCCATTATTCATTCCTTTTCCCATTCGAAGATGATGATTTCGATAATGGAGATATCATTTTATATTCAGGCTCATCACCAGTATCAGAAATTATTAGAGATAGATTCTGCAGACCATGGTCACATGTTGGTATTGTTGTAAAGACTTATCCATTCATCAATCAAATTAAAGGTCAAGAGTTATCAGAAGAGCCAGTACTCTATGTTATGGAATCAACTGGTAAAGAGGGTATTAAAGATCCATTTAGAAAAACCCAATCTTTGACCGGTGTAAATATTTTCCCATTAAGAGACCGTATTAAGGAGTATGGTGGTTATAATGTCCAAGCAATTCGTTTAAATACTCCATTTAATCAACGTCAAAAAGAAAGATGGTTAACCAATTGCTTTGAAATGCATGGTGCTCGTGTTCCATTCGATGTTTTCCAAGGTGCTGTTTTATTATTAGAAAGATTAAGACAATGGAATCAAGTAAGTGATAAATCTGTTTTCTGTTCAGAGTTAGCCGCCATATGTTTATTTAGAGCAGGTGTTTTAGATGATGATGAAAATTATCCAGCAAATACTGACCCAGGCGAAGTATCTGAATTTAAATGTTTTAAAGGAAGTAGAATTAGATTTTTAAAATATGATATTTAAATTATTATAAGAGTTATGCCCTTATTTTTTTTCTTTTCAAATTATTCATAAAATAAATTAAAATAAATTATACTTTTTTTTGTAAAAATAAATAATTTAATTATTGTTATATCTTTTTTTTTTTCTTTTTTTTAAGTTATTTACACCTTTTTTTTAAATTCACACAGCAAAATTTATGATGGGGTAAACTTGAAAAATAAACCCCAACCATAAAAAAACAAAGATAGATATTTGTTTCATATTTTTTAAAATCACCAGATTTTAGATTTAATTAAAACTTAAGCAATTCAAAAAAACATTTGTTTGTTTTTGGATTGCTTAAGTATTAACATTTCAAAATATTAAGATTTTTTTTTGTAATTTTTTTTAATTTTTTTATTTTAAATAAATCATAAAAAATATCAAAATAAAAAAAAAATAAGAAAATGAATTTAACAGAGTTAATAATTGATAAAAGAATTTTTAAATTGTTAGAGTGTAAAAAATGTAATCAGAGTTTTATAAGTGGTTTTAATAAACCTTTGAAAACTTATCAATGCTATAAAGTAATTATTAAATTATTTAATTTATTTTTTAAAAATTTACCCAAGTATTAATATTTCTATAAAGCCTCAATTTTATTGTACAGATTGTATAAAAGAAGAATATAGTTATATTAATGAGTTTTGTAGTCTAGAGGTAAGCTATGAGAGGTTGCTTCAAAATTGTTTCCTTTCTTCTATTTATGAAGATATAATGGTATTTTAAAAAATTATTTATAAAAAAAAAAAAAAAAAATAATTAATTGTTTTTTTAAATTAAATAGTTAAATTGCCCAAATAGAAATAAAGAGATTATTTTAGATGAGGCAGATGTAAATAATAGTGGATGCAATGAAGTGGTTCCAATAAAACAACTTAGGTCCCATGTAAATGCATGTGGGTTTCAATTGGTTTCATGTTTACATAAAGAGTGCTATGGTAATTATGTCATGAGGAAGGATTTAAAGCAACACAATGAATCCTATAACAACAAAATAATTCAATGCTTATTATGTTCAGAAGAAATGAAAAGAATAGATTTAGATAATCATATTTTAGAAAAATGTTCAGAAAAAAGTTGTATTTGTTCCTTCTGTTTAAAACCATATATCAAAAAAAATCAAGAGGCCCATCTTTCTTTATGTCAAGAGGTATCAATTCAATGTCATCTATGTAATGAAAATATCAAAAGATGTGATATTAATTCACATTATAGCAATTTTTATTTACATTCAAAACAAATCATTAATAATTTAATAATAAATGAAAATAAAAATAAAGAATTAAAAGAGAAAAATCAACAACTAGAAAATAAAATAAAGTATTTAGAAAATGAAAATGAAGAAATAATGAAAAGATTGGTTAGTATGGAAAGGTCATTTCTAAAATTTAAAGATTCTTTTAAAAACATCAAAAAACTAATTTCAAAAAAAAAAGGTGTATGGTATATCGACAATATTGATAGTCAATCGATGAGCTATGGTCTAGGTAGTTTGGCTTTTAGTTTTAAATTATCGTATTCACCCTATGGTAGCTATATCGTTTCAATAGAGTTTGAAAAATATTTCGATTCTCCTGTATTAATAGACTGTACATTTAATGTTATAAAAAATAATTCTTTAAAAGGTAGCTATATAATTTTTAAATAATTTTTATATAATTTTTATTTTGTTTTTTTATTAACCATAATTATATTATAAAAGTCATTTGTAGGTGAATATGTTTGAACGAAAGAAATGGTATCCATCAAATATCAATTGATAGGGAAACTTTATTTCAAAGTGCTTTTAATAATATTGAATGGTGTATTAAAGTTTTTGATTGTTAAAGAAGCTGCATAATAAATAAAATTTTTATTGTTAATATTATATATATGAACATTTAATTTTATTTAATACTTACACATCAATACCAGAAAAAAGATTTAAATCCAAATATGGAAATAAAACTGTATTTATTCGATTTATTTGATTTATATTATACATTTTAAATATATTATACAGTTTAGGTTGTAATTTTAAAAAATATATTTTTTTTAATACATACATTATTATTTTGACACTTTTTACACATATAAAATAATTGTTGATATTAAATGGTATTTAAATGTGGTTATAGGGTGATAGGACAATGGATTAAAATTTTAAGATATAAAATTAAAAAAAATAGTTTTTAATCTAAAAAAAATAATAATAAAACAACAATTTTTTTTTACAAAAAAATATGTTGATTACAAATTTCGTTTGCGAAATAAATAATATTAAATTGTTTTAGATATATTATTAAATTAACCCACACTCCGCTTGGGGTTAGAACAATAAAAAAAATTAAAAATTTTCATTCGTGATACAAATAAATATTAATTTTAATTTTTTAAATTTTTAAAAATTTAATAAAATAATATGATTATATACAAAATTATACATTTGAGCAGTGGTTAAAAATACACTTGGTATTTTTTTAATTTAATTTTGTATATTTTAATATGATGATACTATTTATGACAATTGATAATATTTTAATATTTAAAATTATCAATTTTTAAAAATTATATTGGATTAATAAAAATATATATCAACTTTTTTTTTATTGAAATATATATGATAGTTTATTTATAATAATGTTATTAGGTTTTGTTTTTTCTTTTTATTATTTTTTTAAATACATCCACACAAATTTAAATCCGAAAAAATTGATAAAAAAAAAATAATATACGGAGAAAAATAAAAAAATAACAATAATAGCTATATGAAATAAAAAATACGATAGAGTTAGAATAATAAACCAAATATTAATATTTATAATTAATAAAAAAATAAATGATTATGTTTTTTTAAATTTGGATTTTTTTTTTTTTTTTTTATTTTATATTTTTATATTTTGGTTTATCAAAAACAACCAACAAATAATTAATAAAACAATAATTAAATAAAAAAATAAATAATAAAAGAATAATTATTATAATAGTAAG